ATATATGTTTCCTTTACATACAGAAAGTATTAAAAACCAGAGTTATATTTTTTTTCAGAATTTGGTCTGGAAATTCTGGAAATTACTTTTTTGTTTGTTATTATTGCGTTTTCAAATAAAAACTTTAAACTAAATATTTCTCTTGTTGTAAAGTTTACACATTTCGTTTTTATAAAAAGTAAGTTTTTTTAAATTTAACTGGAATATTTCTATTTGTAATTTTATTGACAAAAAGCATTTAAGAACGACCAAAAGTCGAAGGGTGCATTATAATACCTGATTTCAAATGCCTTAACAAAGAGAATAGATTAATCTCTGTTCTGTGCTGCTGAAGTTTATTTATGAAAGGGTAAAATGTTATAATGATGTGTCTGTGTCTCTGGAGTCTCTACAAGATGAGTATAGTAAAGATGGACAAGTCTGTAGAAAGGAATTGTCTTGTTTTACAACAATACAACTACAAACAAGCAATTAAAACATAAACATACTAATTCTAAAGATTAGCAGACAAAAATCCTACGAAGTATAGCTTTCGTTGTATAGGTCTCACTAAATTAAATCAAAGATCATTTAAAAAGAAGATCTTGAGATCATCACTGATTTTTGTCATTTTCAAATCTTGAGCTGCACAGACTATTAGTTGGCCGCCAGGCGTCTCTGCTCTCGATGTTTCTGCAGGTTCCACATGGGAGAGAAAAAATTGTCGTTTCAGGTGCTTTGTTTAAAAAAACAAATTAAAAATATCATGAAATATCAACCAATACGAATGCATCGAATTGCATTCGGCACTTGTTAGTTAAAATATATGAATGATTAATTATACATTTAATTGAATTATTTACGATCTAAGTTTAATGCTGCAATTCTGTGAGCTTGTAAGGACGCTAAGCTTTTAGGTATAAGACGTCTTAACCATTTTCTCCTTAAAGACACAACAGATATAGATAGTAAAATTAGTAGTGATCGATATCGAATTCGAAATATCAGCCTATACCTTTTTCATTTTTCGTGAACGCTCCCTTTAAGCTCTAATTCGATAAAATTCCGTATTTTTGGAAATATAGCGGAAGGAATAATGAATCTAATAAATCTAGTTTGATTTGGCCTTCTATTATTCTCTTAATCAGTATTGACAGAAAATGGGTTGAGAATAGACAGAGGATGGGTTGAGGATAGACAGAGGATGGGTTGAGAATAGACGGAGGATGTGTTGAGAATAGACGGATGATGGGTTGAGAATAGACGGAGGATGGGTTGAGGATAGACGGGGGATGGGTTGAGGATAGACGGGGGTTGGGTTGAGAATAGACGGAGGATGGGTTTCGAGGATAGACAGAGGATGGGTTGAGAATAGACGGAGGATGGGTTGAGGATAGACGGAGGATGGGTTGAGAATAGACGGAGGATGGGTTGAGAATAGACGGAGGATGATTTGCGGTTAGACGGAGGATGGGTTGAGTAAAGACGGAGGATGCTCAAACTCCGGTTTATCTGGTTAGAACGGTTTCGCGGAGACTAGAGACAAGTTGCTCCGTTTATAGCTCCCATCCTCACTCTCTTAGTCTTAGTTTACTCTTTTATTCAGTGGGTCCATCTAAACAATTTCTTTCTATTGTTACGTTTTTGGGACACACTGCAAAATTCACTTTTCTACTCTTACAGGTCACTTTACTACGTACTGTGTTAAGATACATTTTTACTCCTGTGAAGTTATAATTTGTATCCGCATTGGTATCAATTCATTTTTCAAATATATACATTATCTTTAGAACTAATTTCTAAAGGATCATTACTGCACTTTTTCTTCAATTGGAAATAATTTATGAACCACCTTTATAATATAAATATATATTTATTACACTCTCTTTAATAAATCTTGGACTTTAACCAGGAAGAAAATGGATTAAGGAAAGATTTATTGAATTATGCATAGAGTGGATACATTCACAGAGTCATCCTTGTGTGTGTATACTCTGTTAATGTGTATACTCTATGTGTATGGCTCACAGTCGGTTTAAATTCTAGCATATTTTTCTCTCATTTTGTAATAAATTTCAAATTATCTTGAAAGAAATGTACTTTCAAGTGTCCCTCCATGAAAATATGGCAATGCCTGATTTACAACGGTACCATTGAAAGCTCTTGTTGATCAAGATTGAGTTATATAGATATCCTTATTTTGTTTCTTTTAACTGTTCATTTTCATTGGGGTTTCTCTGTATAATAGCGCTATTCTTGAAACAATTTGAGAAATTCACAGAAATAAACGACATTTTAAATCTGATTAGGGTTCCATAGTTTAAATATATATACTCTGAGGTGTCCAGTTAATCTGTAAATATATATACTCTGAGGTGTCCAGTTAATCTGTAAATATGAATACTCTGAGGTGTCCAGTTAATCTGTAAATATGAATACTCTGCAGTGTTCAGATTGACATTTATGCAGACAGTGTAATTAAGAAAATACCGGTTTATTGTTTATTTTCTTTTATAAATCATGTCTGGGGGTAATAAGGCGACAAATAGTCCTAGAACAATGGTTTAACATACTTTTCATATAAATAGAAAACAGAGGTGTTGCCGAAAAATATTTTATTTACGAGAATACAAGTTGTGAATCGGACATTGGCACCTTTGCAATTATTAATGTAACCAAGGCCAAGGGGTAACGACACTTTAAAATTTTCCTGGTCTAGAAAATGTATAGCTCTCTGGATCTCTGGGCATTCTTATTACAATGAGAAAGGATCTTAGTCTTTGCCACAAACTCAGATTTTTAAAATTCTATATCTCTGCAACCCAATCTCGTATAAAGTAATAGGAGTTTTAAATATTAAAGATTTAAACCGTCCTGTTACAAAAATATAGGTTATAGAAAATTTGAGTTAGTGTAATTGTAAAAAGAATGCCCACGTCCAGAGATCCAGAGAGTTATGAATTTTATTGACCAGGTAGACTTTAAAATATCATAATCGATGGCCTTGGTTACATTACTTATTGCAAAGAGGACCATGCCCGATTCACACCCCTTGACACCTTTCTGATCAATAATGTGGAATATATTGTCGTTTTTATATGTTCAAAAGTGTTTATTTCTGATTATTTTTGTATGTTTTACTGCTGCAGAAATGCGCAAGTCACTTTGTAAAGATTGAAAATAATCAGTTTTTAAAATTATGATATAGAATTGAATCAATTGATCAACATTGATAACAAATTCAAAAAGATACAGTATTTAAGGGTACCGTTGTGATCGTTTGCATAGAGGTTCACTTGAAATTACGCTCACAGTCCATTTAAGTAATCATATTTCAAATTCAATTTTCTTAACCCTAATCCTGCTGGGGGGGGGCAATTTTTCCCCCCCCCCCTCCTGTAGTTTTTTTTTCACATAACTCAAAAAGTATTGGTCTGAGGCTAATGAAATTTTCTGACTTTTCCTAATTACCCATAGAAGTCAAATTAAGTCTAAAACCGGGTTTTTATACTAACTGCCTGAGTCCTCAGGCACACTGCCTGAATGACTACTTTTTTCTGTAACAAACTAAATCTTTGTTTTGACCCAGTTGTCAGATTTAATTAACTTTTAGCTTTTTGGAAAACCTATGACAAAAGGATACGGAGTGCACAAGTTATTTGCAGACAACCAGTCATAAGAAATTTGCACATTTTTAGTTATTTAAAATTTTGCAAAATTGTTTGCATTTTTGAAATGGCATGGTCAAGGGCTTTTCAAAAATGTATAGTTTATAATTTTTAAGACATTTTTTTTGCAAACATATTTACCATATAACTGGATGTATCATTTGTCATTTTTGAACATCAAATATGGCCTTATAAATAATAATTAAGGATTCTATTATATTCGTCTGAAGTATTAATTAGACATAAATGTTTATAATTTTAAAAACTGTTTATTTTCAATTGGTGGTTCTCTACAAAAGTGACTTGAGCATTTTTACTGCCGGAAAAAAAAAACACTTTCAAAGCTCGAGAAACGACAATATCTTCCACATTTTTGAACAGATAACGGTCTCAAGGAAAACGTTATGGATTGGGCATCCCCATCTGTGCATAGAGCGAAGGATCACTTGAATTTGTGTTTACAGTCCCTTTAAATAAATTATGAACCAGGAATTGTGTTTACAGTCCCTTTAAAATAAATTATGAACCAGGAATTGTGTTTACAGTCCCTTTAAAATAAATTATGAACCAGGAATTGCAGGGAATGAATAAATTTCCGGAAGCATTAAATTAAAAATTATCAAATCTACGAATTTAATCATTCAAATTTGCAATTTAACATTCTAAAAATGCATTTAACACCTTATTTTCATAATGACATGTTAGACTCAGTAAAAGTAAAAAGGAGAATGGTTCTAAATTTTACTGTTATATATTAAAGGGAGTGACCGGCACAGTATAGTGGTTGAACTGAGTATGCAGTCTTGTAGGATTTTTTTAGGATTCATTTGAGACATTGAAAACGTCTTAATGTGCTGTCGATGTTCAAAATCATGAATTTGGGTGGGTACGTTTTCAGAATCGGTTTTTTTAATTTTTAAAAATGACAACAAAAAATATGGTAAAAATTCTATAGTAAACTAATTAGATGTTTAGGAACATCTTTCTCAACAGAAAGGAATTGAGTTTTTGCCACAAACTCTGATTTTCTAAATCCTATAGCTTTACAACCCAATGTCGTAGACCTTAGATATTTCAAACTATGATTTCTGCTAGATCAAATAAGCAAAGTTTAATATATCAAACGTTTGCACTATCAAGTTGCAATGATATAGGGATTAGAAAAGTTGAGTTGGTGGCAAAGACTCAAATAATATTGAGCACTTGTTCTTATGACATTAATCGGAAAATTTTCATCTATTTTTGCGTAAGGAGCTTGCCACCATGGATCACTAGGTGCGGTTTGTTTACAACAAAAAGTTACAGGACAAACATCTTATTATAAACGATCATCTTATTGTTAATTTCAGAATGAAAATGATACCCTGATTATGTGTTTACATTAAGTTAGTGTACCGAGTCCTAGGTTTTTAACCATATTGTACAAATGGAGACTTACTTGTACATCAACATCATTATTCTTTCCTTGGGTAATTATGATTATAATTACGATCATATCAAGAAAATATAACACTAGAAGAATGTTCAGAAAATATGATACGGTGGTCAGCCTATTAAACAATGTACAGTGATAACCAGAAAACTCTGAAATAGGAAGACGACTGTATAGCAACACTTTTGTACAGTTAATGCTGTTGCAAAGCAAATAGTTTTACTAGACACTTATAGAACTACTTATTAAGTTATGTGTGACGTGTCCCAATATATTTAAAGTCATATATGCTTGAGTCTAAAAGTCGTCTCACTTTTCTGGTTATCACTGTATATAGACCACTTTAAAGAGTGTGTTCGCGAAAAATGAAAGGGGGTGGCTTACGGCGGAAAATAAGCGCTTTTGATCGCTACTAATCTTAATTCTATCTGTTGCCTCTATAAGGAGAAAATTGTTTAAAACGACTTATACTGAAGAACGTAGCGTCCATACAAAATCAGAAAGTTGCAATATTCTACTCAGATCGTAAAAAAGTCATTTTAATTCCAAAAAAATCATTCGGTTATTACAACCAATAATCATCGACGCATTCGTATTTCATAATATTTCATAATATTTTTTTTATTTTTTTATGATCTGATAGTTACTTCTGAAAACATTTATTAATGTTTTGAGGATATTTTACAATGAAGACGACATTTTCATACTTTCCAAGAATGTTCGAATATCCAGCGCCAGCGAAAAATTATTTAGAAAAAAACAAATTAAAATATTTTTAATATAAGAATGTGTTGAAAAATAATCGATGACTTTTGTTTACCTATGTTGAATGCCACAAGCTTTTTTAAGGTTAAAGACGACTTTGCAGTTATCAATCAATTCATATTATTCCTGCTTATTCAGAACATCACTGTATATTTATGTTTTATGACATAATATAGGATTACCTTAAATGTAATTAAAAATTTAAGTTTATCTAATAGTTTGTACTTTTTGGAATATTTAACCCTGATATACACTTTATAAATAAGAAAATTTTCTTCTTCAACACTTTATTGATAAATGATAATGATAAAGTTATATAAAAAATACGTAGTTTAAAAAATGTTAACAAAACTATTTTTTTCAAAAGCAACGAAAATGTTTTTTTAACAGAGACAAATTGTATTAGAAATTTAAGAAAGTCAACTGCTGGGATAGAGTAAAAAACGCAAAAATACCAAAATATGCTTTATATTAGAAAATTATCAAAGAACAGTTTAAAAACTTTTTTGACGGAAATTTGTTTGTTAGTTTTGAAAAATTAATCAACAATTCAAATGAATATTTTGAGCAATGTTCAGACTTTAAATTAAGGGCATATCCTTTCATGTTTATAACCTAGACAATAGAATTTTGAAATAACTTTTTGTTTATAATTAATTTTCTGCGTGAAATTTTTAATATAATTAGGACAAAAAGAACATGTAGGAAAGATTTTAAACAAAACTGATTTGTATCCTGAATGTCAGTTTTTCTTCGAATTGCATGAAAAAGCACCAAATATTTTTTATATATTTCATTATCGATTGTTTTAATAATCACACAGACGTTAAAGGGAAAGAATTATTTTCCGCTGAACACTAAATACCCTTAATTATCATACAGTTAAACCCTAAATAAGCCATGCATAGAAAGAATTCATCAAATGTCGTGTTCTTCACTTTCTGATAATGGAATGTTTCAGATATTTAGTTTTTTAATTCAATGATTATATGGAGCTATTTAAAACTGTTCCCGCATATTAATGGCTATTTATTTATTTTCGCAAATACTGAGATTTACGTAAAATAGTAAAAAAAACATCCAAAAATTTTCAAGGTGAAATTTGATAAATTCTTTCGATGAATGGCTCATTTAGGGTTTAACTGTATTAATATAAAAAGGTTTGAAAATGTAGAGTTCATGGGGACCAGAAAAATGACATAAATGACAAATGTTTTGTTATTTTTAATTATATTCAGTGTATTGGCCAACAATATATAATAGTCATATCAAATATCAGAAAAATGTTGTTGGCCATTGATCATTCTACACCCACCCCCCCCCCCCACTGTACAAGGGTTGCCAAGGAAGTTAAAGAACTATGGAGATGAGAATAGGGTTTGTTTACATCCTTTTTTATCTACAGCAATATTGCAGTTATCAAATTAGTATACACTGAACTATGATATTTTGTACAGGTGTATTTTAAAAGGTCAAAATGTACACTGAATCATGATATTATGTACAAGGTATAATTGAAAGGTCAATATGTATGCTCTGAGCTCAAAACGTAAGACAGGGAAGCATTATGAAAACCAGTTTTAAAACCCGGGTTTTATGAATGGGGTTAGGCCGTTTTGTGGTTATCAATGTTTTTGTTATGAAATATTTGTTTATTTATTTTCTTCATATTCTTCATTCTTGTCAAATCTCTTAAATCAAAATCTACAAAATGTTAAGATCCCAAAAAGGAAACTCGAGAGTTCGAGACTGTGATATTGTGTACAGGTCGATACGATTACTGAACCATGATATTGTGTACAGGTGTATTTTGAAAGGTCAATATGTACACTAGATCATTATATTGTGTACAGGTGTATTTTGAAAGGTCAATATGTACACTAAATCATTATATTGTGTACAGGTGTATTTTGAAAGGTCAATATGTACACTGAACCATGATTTTGTGTACAGGTGTATTTTGAAAGGTCAATATGTACACTAAACCATGATTTTGTGTACAGGTGTACAGTGTTGGGGAGGAGAGCATGAGTATAGGCTGACTAAGTACCTTCTTTCAAACTATGAAGAGGTAAACTATACACTGTGAGACTTTCCAAAAAGTAGAAATTTTAAAATATTTTATTCAAATCACAAGTTTTAGTAAAGCGTACTTTGTCACCATAATATATATTACTAAAGTATACACTGAACCTAGCTTGTGTCAACTACAAGGTGCCCCGCTAAAATGATAATTAATACTCGAATGGAGGACTTTCAGATAGTGGCCCACATTTTGAAACTCTTAAATGATGTAACCTTCCAATTAGATAACAACCAAAGATGAAGACTATCTTCAAGTTTATCAACACATTATGTGGGACACCCTGTATGACCATTATTCTACCCCACCCAACTTATCCAGCCAAAGATATTTTATATTCCCCACACCCCTTCCCGCTTCCCTAAGGAATCACCCCCCCTTTCAAACATGGGCACATTTCGGAATTTGTTACTTCCCCTATTTGATCCGGACAAATTGGTATAATAAGCTTGTTGGTTGTGTGGGGAGAAGTCTAGGTGCTTTAGGGAAAATATTAGATTTAAGATAAGAGAAACTACCAGGGGGAAAAGATTTACGCAACATTTAGAAGACTGGTTAGCTAGGTAATTTACCTACTCAACTTTTCTAAGTTGTTCTTATTGGAAATAATCAATTATCAAATTACCCTCAATTAAAATTCACAACAATACACGTACAATCTTTCTTTGTTTGAGAAAACTTATGGAGATACATCTCGACTCTTCCTCATTTTTTATACTAAGATAACGATTTAAAAGGGTGTAGTTGTGAAACAAGCATATAAAACATTTAATTAAGAGCCATTGAAATTAATTCAACGATATCTTTATATGCATTTTTAGTCTGTTCGTCCCGTGGAGAACTCGAGTTTACCACTCATAGTAGAGTTTGGAGTTTCACTTCATCAGATAGTTGATGTGGACGAGAAGAATCAGATTCTTACTACCAACTGCTGGTTAACACAGGTAGAATATAACCTTACTACCAACTGCTGGTTAACACAGGTAGAATATAACTTACTACCAACTGCTGGTTAACACAGGTAGAATATAACCTTACTACCAACTACTGGTTAACACAGGTAGAATATAACCTTACTACCAACTGCTGGTTAACACAGGTATAAAATAACCTTACTACCAACTACTGGTCACCTTTTTTAATGCTTTCAATATTACTCAAAATATGACGAATTTTGTTCAGATTTAGGTAATTTTTTCCTTTATTTAACAAAATTATTAATATCTCCAGTAATATTTACAGCTCAAAAAAGGCAGACCAAATTTTGGAAATACCAGAACTAAGAAAATTTTTTGGTTATTGTTTCAAAATCATACATGTCAAAGTAGGTTGACGACTGAATGTCACAAATAATTCAAAGAAAACAACACGAATTACAAGTAGTCTTGCTACCGTCATGTCTCGTGGGACACCCTGTACTTGACTTGTGCCCTGCGGAATAAGTTAACTGAGCCGAATTCCATGGAATACCCTGTAGCTGATCTGTGGAATAAGTTAACTGAGCCCAATTCCATGGAATACCCTGTACCTGATTTGTGGAATAAGTTAACTGAGCCCAATTCCATGGGATACCCTGTACCTGATCTGTGCTGTGGAATAAGTCAGCTGAGCCCAATTCCATGGAATAGCCTGTACATAATCAGTGCTGTGGAATAAGTCAGCTGAGCCCAATTCCATGGAATACCCTGTACCTGATTTGTGGAATAAGTTAACTGAGCCCAATTCCATGGAATAGCCTGTACATAATCAGTGCTGTGGAATAAGTCAGCTGAGCCCAATTCCATGGAATACCCTGTACCTGATGTGGAATAAGTCAGCTGAGCCCAATTCCATGGAATACCCTGTACCTGATCGTGCTGTGGAATAAGTCAGCTGAGCCCAATTCCATGGAATACCCTGTACCTGATGTGTGGAATAAGTTAACTGAGCCCAATTCCATGGAACTCCCTCTACCTGATCTGTGGAATAAGTTAACTGAGCCCAATTCCATGACTAGCACTGTTTTATCTAAGGGATTGAAGATGTCCTTTATAAAGTTAGATTTCTCTAATCAAATCAGCTTGATTGTGATTTGTGAAGAAGAAAAATGATCAACTGGGATAGAATTATAGGTTCAAATTCGATTCGAAAGGAAAGTTTTATTTCTTTTTTCTCGTGAGTAAAATGTAAAATATTCGACTGAAAGACATCTATTCTACATTTTACAAGACGTTTACGTTCTACTAGAAGTACTTAGACATTTCTAATAAAATCGAGGAAATACAAAAGTACACAGACTTTACTTGCAATCTATTCTATATCATCTAATTCTTTTTTAAAAGCTTTGATACTGAATCCTCAACTGTGCAAATATATATTAAACCCTACACTTTACCCTACACTTTTTATCACATTATAAAGATATGGTTTGATTAATTGTGTACTGTCCCGTCTGGCCGACTAAAGTCTGTATAGGACGTACTGTACTGTACAACATGATCTAGCTGCTTAAAAGTCTTCCCTGTATGCAAAGCATTAATATAAATAAAATCTAGAGAATAAATAAAACGGATGTTAGCTGTAAACATTGATGTTTACTGTCAGAGTTGTTAGTAGGGATGTACATTGTTACAAGTAAATATCTCATAAACGCTGTGTAAAATACCGTAAAATTTGAGTGTACGCTACTGCAGTGTGAACTCAGATGACCTCGCATATTCCTGGAAAATCTGGACTTTTTTATTTTCAATAAAGATTTCGAATGTGAATATTCAAATTCTGCCACATCTAGAAAGTAAATATTTAAATCTCTTATATATAAAACAGCTGAATATCATGAGCATGTTTTAGATAACTCAGGAAAAGTCTGTCATCCTTGATCAGTAAAAGGTTTAAAGGGTACTGTTGTGAATCCTTGATCAGTTAAAGGTTTAAAGGATACCATTGTGAATCCTTGATCAGTAAAAGGTGTAAAGGGTACTGTTGTGAATCCTTGATCAGTAAAAGGTTTAAAGGGTACCATTGTGAATCCTTGATCAGTTAAAGGTTTAAAGGGTACCTTGCTAAATTCGGGGTTCCCTCTCTTTAAATGGAAGGTCACTTGAAATTACGATACAATCCTTTTTAAATAACAGAGATGCCCATGTGTGGTAATCATTCATTTTAAAAAAAAATACTGAACAATTATTTCCTTGTGTTATCTGTTCATGTTTAATTCCAAAAATTACAAATTTTAATTCAATGTTTAGCATCATTTGTCCTTAAATATATTTTTAACTATGTGAGTTTTCCATGCGTTTTTGATCAATAACTTATGGTTTTTCAAAAAACCCTAGTCCTAATTGGAACTCTTGGGACGTTGCCCATCCCTATAGCGATGTAGGAGCAGCACAGGGCATTGACTCTGTTGCTAGGCTTGAGTTGGAAATAGTTACTTTGTTCTAGTTTTACATGTGTCAATGTTTTTATTCTACAACTTAGAAATATTTCAACCTTCCGCCATAAACTTCTGATAAATGTATGAAATCTTATCTAACATTTAGTTTATTGGTGAACAGAGTTTAGACTTGGTAAATATTTCAATTGGTTTTGTCTGCTGGTTTTTCATGTAATTTTGCTAATTCAAACTTTACTAAAAAGATCATACGAATCAAAGAACGTATTACTCGTACTTTGAATAGATCTGAAATTGAACTGTTTCTGAGCATCTGATTTTGACTGATGATTTCATTTCAAATCTAATCTGTCCAAACTATAATCTGAAACCATATTCAAAGCACACTTTAAGAAATGTCAAACATTCATCTGACAAACTGTGTTGGGGCACCGAAGAAAAATTCAACTTAGTTATAGCTCGATTCTTCAAATGTTATTGTTGATGAATGATAACATAACTATAACAAAATTTGACGACTAATGACGTAGATAACATTTTTTAGAGTGTTCAAGCAAGTTACACCTTGTGAAGTTCAAGTTCGTGATTTGGCCGAAACAGTTTAGCGAATTTCCCGCATTTTTATAGTTCATTGTTGACATTCGGGTTCGCAGTTTTTGGGAAATCTTTGAATATTTTCTTATTAGTTTTGGGCATCCATTTCCATTGATCCCAATTAAATAGTTGAATTGAGTGTGTACAACGCAAAGATTAATTAACAATAAAAGATAGGAGTCTAGATGTCGTCTTTTCAAGATTTAGGGTTTTTCGTTCACAATAACATTGAGGCAGAAGCCCAAAGGAGTTACGCACCTTCGGCGTAGAGAAGGCTCTCTCTATATGCAGCATGCGCGTAACTTCTTTTGACTTCTGCCTCATGGTTATTGTGAATGAAAAACCCTTAAATCTTGAAAAGACGGCATATAGTGTTATATCTATTATTGTTAATTAATCTATAGTGCAACGTCACTTTAAAGGAAACCCCGTCGTTGATGAAAATAATCAATTTTGAAATAGAATATCAACATTTGTTTTATTCAGACAACGATTTAAAGTGTATCATTGTAAAAACTGTTATTCTAAATTTTAAATAAAATGTTTCTTGAAATTACGCCGACAGTTCCATTACAGTACTTTATCCTAGGTTTGGAATGATACTCATCTCACCTGGAATTATTCTGATTTTGACGGAATAAAAGCAATCCGGCTTCCGTACACCAAGGTCTGGAGACCGGATATAATCCTCTACAACAAGTAAGTACAAAATAATGATAGCCAGTACAATGTTATGGTTATTGCGTACAATGTATAATTATTGAGTACATGTTAAGAACCCCAGGGTACTCATAGTTACTCCCGCCGTTTATCCGCGCTTGGTCATAAATTACGATTTTTATTGGACTCACTTAACTTAACTTAAAATCTCTAAAACAAGCCAAAAACATGCTCGTTGTTCTCCCGAGTTCCCCAATCAAAGTTTTAGGAAAATCAGTGATTGGGTTCCTGAGTTATGATCGGACACTCAAACAAACAGACGAACAGAGATTACATTTTTGGAGTTCGATGTAGTGTCCAACAAAAAATAAAGATTACCTTAAAAATTCCTGACGAGAATCAAGTATAAACTATAAAGTTTAAAAAATAATGTTTTATTATATTTTGTTTTCCATGTAAAAAACATCTCCGTAAGTTTAAGTTTAAATGAAGTAGACATGAAAAGCAAAAAATATAATAAAGGGAAAGAAAATGTTTCAATTTTATGACATTTTGTTTCGTTTTTAAGTATTCAAAAAGAATAAGTTTTAACTTCTAAGAAATTTTACCAATCTTGGTGTTATATAAAACCCCAAAAAATTGGCCAAAAAATGTTAAAGGGGGTGAGTAGTGGTCACAGTTATCTCAGTCTGATTGAGTCCTATAGATCATCGATATTCACGTTTTGAACTTTGCAAAATAAGCAAAATAAAATGTTTTTCATATATTTTTAAGAATAGCTTTAAAACTAGTTTGAAGATTAATTGTTACTTAAATAATTAGCTGAATAATCATATTAAGATTAATCTAATGATGCTATTGCAGGGCAGGGGGGGGGGACCATTGGGCGAGGCAAGGGCCGATACAGGGGGCATAGGGAGGAGATTTTCAATCTATACAGAGTCTTTAATTAATCATCCGTCTATTCTTTTATTGTTATCAAAACACATAATATATAGATATAGCATGCACCCCATAATATATAGATATAGCATGCACCCCATAATGAAGCCTCGCTGCACTGGGGGATCTTAAAAGCGGGGATTTAAGAGATTACTAATCGTAGTTTCAATATGGAACCTGGTTTTAATATAGAACCTGGTTTTAAAACAAAGCCCATAGATAAATAAATAAACATAGATAGCTTATGTACGCAAAATCACCAAGAATTGTACAGTCCGCGAACTCATACTTCTAGGGGTCAAAGTGTACTTCAATGGTATTTTAATGGATTTCAACATAGGGTATAAAATAACTCCTGGAATGGAACTATTTGAACATTATTTCACTGAGCAACATATCATATTTACGAGAACTAAAGAAGGACATGAAAAGGACTATACTAACTTAAATTTCTCTCTACAGAACTCATGTACACCACAAGTACTCAATGACATAAGAACAGCCAATGTTCACAACCGACCTAGTTAATCTATATAATAGGAATATCTTTAAAACATCTCTGTACATTTATATCTTTCAAGATGAAAAATGTCGTCTTATGCGCAATCTATCTTTATCTATGACAAAACCTGGTTTCAATATAGAACCTAGTTTCAATATAAAACCTGGTTTCAAAACTAAATCTGGTTTGAATAGTAAACCTGGTTTAATAGTAAACCTGGTTTCAGTTGTAAACCCGGTTTCAATAGTAAAACTGGTTTTAATAGTAAAACTGGTTTTAATAGTAAAACTGGTTTTAATAGTAAACCTGGTTTTATTAGTAAACCTAGTTTAAATAGTAAACCTGGTTATAATAGTAAACCTGGTTATAATAGTAAACCTGGTTATAATAGTAAACCTGGTTATAATAGTAAAACTGGTTGCAATAGTAAAACTGGTTTTAAAAGTAAACCTGGTTTTATTAGTTAACCTAGTTCAAATAATAAACCTGGTTTTAATAGTAAACCTGGTTTCAATAGTAACCTGGTTTTAAAGTCAAACCTGGGTGCAATTGTAAATATGGTTTAATAGTAAACCTAGTTCAAATCGTAAACCTGGCTTCAATGGTAAACTTGTTTTTAATAGTAAGCCTGATTTTAACAATAAACCTGGTTTTAATGCCAAACCCCGGTTTCTATAGTTAACCTGGTTTCAATAGTAAACTTGGTTTTAATAGTAAACCTTGTTTCAATAGTAAACCTTTTTCCCTAATAAACCTTGTTTCAATAGTAAACCTGGTTTCAACATCAAAGCTGGTTTGAAACCTTTATCTGATCTATAATGTGGGCGATATTGTCGTTTTTTAGTTCTGAAAGGGTGCGCGAGGCACTTTTGTAGTGAAGCCACAATTATAAATATTCTGTTTTCAAAATTGTAAAGATTGATAACAAACTTAATAAAACAAAGTTGTTCAGGGTACCGTTGAGGGTGCATTAAGGGTCATTTAAAATTAAACTTATTGTCCCTTTAAGTAAAAGGGAAAATATTAATGATTTATTTCCAACTATACATCCTTGATTTGTTTATAAATAAATAGAAAATTATAAGAAACCTCAACATATTTATGACCACTAAGGGAATTCTGAGATCTATTCCTAACAAAATATTTATAACGTTCTCAGTAAAAACCTATATTGGAACCAAATAATAAAGCAAAACTCTGATGCATCTGCAATTGTTTTTTTTTAATACGATATATTTTACATTTTTATATTATAACCCTACTATCAAAATAAGTTCAAAGCTAGATAAAAAATTTTAATAAGCAAAAATTATCTGATTATTCAGAACCGCATTCTGAACCGCATTCAAATGTTCCAGCTCAATGTCAGTCAGTAAAGTTATATTTTAAACATATTTCCATTCAATTACAAAATAATCTTCGCGTTGTATTCAGAATAATTAAGGCTTTATTTTGATCATTAGATACCTATCAAATATTAATTTTAGATTCGTTGCATTGTAAACTGTTTTAAAATAAGCTGTAATCAATTTAATTTCAAAGTAATACAGACTTTGCAACCAACCTTGATTTAATAATTCCTATATCTTTGCAACCCAATGTCGAAAACCTTAGATATTTTAAACTAAAGATTCTGTTAGATCAAGTAATTTAAATTCAAAATATCAAAGTTTACACTATTAGGTTACAAAGATAAAGGAATTAGAAAATTAGTTCTTGGCAAAGACTCAATATCATAATCTAGAAAATTTACTCAAAGTGTTTTTTTTTTACTTATTCACTCATCTCTCAATCATAAATAATAATTCATTCATTCTAAATAAATCCGTGTTCCATGAAACTTTTTCATAAATACGGCCGTAAATAAACATAATCTTTGATAAATGGACAATATATGATTTATCTAGATTGATAAAATATTTATCTAAAAGCAATAATTTTGTAAAATAAGTTTAAAAATCTATCCATGGGTAATGATAGGAAGAGAAACTCGCAAAGTTGGTATACCCCCTTACCGTTATTTTACTCACATTGGATTAATATGGCCGTATCTTGATAAGTATTTTGAGCGGTAATTTTCTAGAAAATTAGATCAAGGACAAGAGAAATGAAGTAAAAATACTCTAATCAATTAATCAATTAATTAGTTTGAACGTGTCCTCTCTCGATCTTGTCTAATCGGAACAGATATAAACAATTAGCACCCACTCTGAGAAATGGAAAAGAAAGAAAGATTTTAGATAAATTAAAAGAAAAGAGAATGACAATGAATGGATAAACTTTTCTATTTTTAGCATTTAACGGTACATTTCCTTTATTAAGAAACAAATTAAATTTTCATTTTTAAACTTACTAAGCTTGTTAAAAGGTAAGCCTAGGGTAATTTCTATTTAAGTATCCCCCCCTCACCCCTCCTCTCTTTTTACTAAGAAAAAGAAGTTTTGCCATTTTTGATTTTCTGAAAAAAAATTCCATATTTTCGAAACTATGAAATAATATACTAAAAATGTTAAAATTGATTTTAAAATTTCTGGGAACTAATCCCACAACGTCTATTTGGTTTTTATTTAAAATTTTAATTTGTATTTTGCTATATCTTTTTAAAAAAAGTATACTTACTTATATAGGATAAGTCAAAAAAAAATGTGAAAAAAAGAAATCCGCGAACCTTTTTTCCCGTCATAATAATAGATAATAGATAATTGCTATCTAATCCTAATATTTCATTAAGATCAGTCTGACCAATTGAGAGATATATACATATAAGAATCCCCAACATTTTGATGAAAGAGATCCGATTTATTGTTCAGTTAACCATAAAAAAAAAACAGTTAACAGTTGCACATTAATTGAAATGTCAATCATTCTTTTGGTGAAATTTCACCGCTCTAATTCTTAGATCTATTTTTTATTTATTGATGACCTTGCTTGAACAGCTACACTAGAACTAAATTGCGAATTTTCCTGATACGATTTTGCGAGTTTTCTCCATTTCCATGAGTCTGATTTGTATGAAATTATAGGATTAGCTAGAAATTATACATTAACACATTTTTTGCTTTTATTCTTATTTGATTTTGAGTGCGTATTAAAAAAATGTATAACAATATTCCAAAATAATGCAAAAAGTACATGCATAATAATTTCATGAAAAAACTAATTGTTATGATAAAGACTACGCTACACTTTTTTGGACTCACCCTGTAGATATATAGATAGATAGATAGATAGATAGATAGATAGATAGATAGATAGATAGATAGATAGATAGATAGATAGATAGATAGATAGATAGATAGAAAGATCATGAAGTACGCAACAAAAGAACTCTTTTGTTAGAATAATAATAATGGCATCAATAACATTGTTATCTATGAAAGAAATATAACTAACCTGGTTTTTTCTCTTTCACTTTTATTGGTCAAAAACATCAGTAGAGGGAGTTGTAAGGGAAAAAGGAAAAAAAGTGTTCACTTTTTTTCCAGAACAGAGTTTAAATCGGATTTAAAAATTTCAAAGTATAAACATTTATTTTTTAAATGCATAATCGGAAACCGAGAGCACTTTAAGCGCCAAAAAGTGCAATGAACCCAACTTAAACTCAAATATATGCTGCCTACTAATATATCGTTTATATGCTGCCTACTGATATATCGTTTATATGCTGCCTACGAATATATGCCTGTGTGTTATGGCATTCCACTCTGACGGTCAACCAGACCTGTGCACTCAAACGAGTGCAGAAAACCTGTCTGTCGTTTGGGAAAAAATGTCTTTTAAGCTCAAACCACAGACCCTTGTTTCCTCTACACAGCCATAACCTTAGATAACAGAATCTGTTGACAGTTGTTGAAGCCAGGACGGAGATGTTAAGGAGATCATGTATACCTTTACATCCAAAGATTATTGAAAAGTAAATAAACATAAATATGTTTTTATTAATATGACTTTGAAATGTATCTATATCTTATTTTATATATAAATGTTAATCATAATAAACTTTATTTATTTATTTATTAATTTATTTATCTAGGCACACAATTAAAAGGTCAAAGTGCGAAATTACTCGTAGAGCTCCTTTAGTTCTAATTTTATGAGGAAAACAATTGTATTTGTTTGTGTATATATCAGAAGTTCTAAACCTGTTTTTTTCTCAATATTTATCATTTTTGATAAAATCACACTGAATTAGAAAGAAGGATACTGGTACTTTGTGACCCTCTCTAATTTGATGAACACGTTTGCGAAAAGCAAACTTATCTGAGCTGAAAACTTTAGAATGAGATATCCTTAATCTCGATTACTTAATCTAAGTATCCAATGTACACACTTTTGATTTTCTTCTTAAACCATACTTTCTTGGATGTAGTACAGAAAATTCAAAACCGGTTTTTCTAAATTAGAGAGTTCCTCTCTTTTCTGTATATAATCTTAAATGGCGCGTAAAATTTCAAATATATCGGCTTCATATAAGCGACTCTGATTGGTTTAATCTTATACACTTTTCAGAATACAAGTACAAGATTAGATTAGTCTCGATATTAAGAAGAAGGGATCGAGGATCAAGCATTAATCTCGATATCCACTATTCTAAAATTCCTAACAGTTTTGTTCTTCTCAATTGACTTGTGAGGTTTCAATGTTTAATCTAAATAAAATGTACTTTCAGTGCTGACTCTCAGTACAACACAGCTACAATCAACACAAATGTCATCGTTTCTTATACAGGAGAGGTAATAATAATAATAATAATAATCATATTTATAATACATATGAATTGATTGGAGCCTTTTGAGAAAGACCTCACATCACCCGAGAAATTATTTTTGGTTGGTCAAAAAATACTCTTTTAAAACAATTGTGGAAGCGCGTCAATAAAAAAACAGTTTCATAATATACTAGCTGGGGAACCCGGCACTGCTCAGGTTAATCATACTTACTCATCCCGTTTACCCGCACTTGGTCGAAAATCATGGATTTAGGAATGTTTCCCTTTAAAAATTGACCCAATTAATTTAGAACCTGGAAATAAAGCTAAGGACATTCCAGTGATTGTCTATAGTTCCCCAAACAAAATTTGAGGAAAATCGGTGATGGGGTCCCTGATTTATGATTGGACATCCAAACAAACAATCACAGATTATTACTTTTTAAAGATGAAGAAAAAATGGTGCCATGGAAAGTATAATCAAATGATTGGCTTGCAACAGCACAAAGCTCCACAGTAAAAAGATTTTACAAGTATTTGCATTAGCGTGTGCCCCCGGGCAACCCCCCCCCCCCCTCCTACAAACGAAGATTAACAGTTAAGTAGTTAACTCGTTCTGACAAGAGTCTAGTATATATATTATAGAAGGAAGGAATCCATCATATAAAGAATACTCAAGGGACGTATTCACTATATTAGGTATTTACAACTATGTAATTATACAGTTCTCTTTATTGTACATAAAGGAGGTACATTTGTACATAATGATAACTCACATTTGTCAAAGCAACGTCAACTTCTATAGAAGTGCAAACAAGGGTCTACTTTGCTTCGCTGAACCCAACTAAATAAAGATTGAATGACGATTTCAGATTAGCTTTAAAAAACTTTTGCTCTATTCAAAATTATTTTTAAAAATGTTTATTTTGATAATTAAATTTTTTTTAAGAAAATATTTTTTTAATTGCTTGTTAAAATAAACAATCACTTAAAACAAAGAAAATAATTTTTCTCAGGAAAGCTATTTCTCCCAAAAGTTGTGTAGTGTTGGTAGCCCTATTTTTACATAGATTTCTTTGTTCTTCATTTTTTACTGTACACTTGTAAGTAGAGAATAATCCTCTTATTCTTTATCAAAAGGTTTTTTTCATTTGGAAAAATTCATTTTTTTCTTTTCAAAGGAAGGGAAAACAAGTTTAAACTAAAAGTTCTTTATCTTACAAAACAAGTCTAAAAATTCGAATATATTTTTGTTAAAGAGACTGAGTAACACTAGAAAATGAGATATTTAGTTTTGAAGTTTGAGTATTTTAATTGCGGGTTCTCCATAAAAACTACTGTGGCTTTCTTGCTTAAGAAACAATTAAGGTTTTTTGGAAGAGCTAATCAGGTTTTAAGCTAGAAAACCTGAGATCTGTCTTCCACATTTTTTTATCGATAACGGTCTTAAAGGTTTGTGATCTTTTCTTACTGGAGGGTTACTTGAAATATCGACGACAGTCTCTCTAAAGCAGGATTAAAATAAAAAAAATCAGTTAAAACAAAATATTAACAATTTAACTTAATGTTTACGATCGATATACAGGAGGGAACAAACCAAACCAGGGTGCGATTTGATCATGCACATCCATAGTGTGATGTGTCATATTTATTCTAGAATTTCAAACAAATTAAAAAGTTTTACATTCATGAAAATGTGCCAAAAATATTATTGGAATTTTTTAGAAAGTTTCGAAAATGGCGTAGAGATATCTTCTTGCCAGACTAGCCTTATTCAAACCAAAACAAACATTTGAACAATTAGGAATTGAGTTTTTGCATCAAATTCTTATATTTTAATCTTTGCAACCTACAATGTCGTTCGTTGCAAAAGTGTAAAGATTAAAAAAGTTGAGATTTTGACAACTACTCAATTTCTGTATGTTCATTAATCTCAATAGGGGATAATTCATCCAGGTACTGTCCCGTCTGTTTGTATTCTGTACCAGGTACTGTCCCGTCTGTTCATCCAGGTACTGTCCCGTCTGTTTGTATTATGTACAAAATCCTCTTCATCCAGGTACTGTCCCGTCTGTTTGTATTCTGTACAAAATCCTCTTCATCCAGGTACTGTCCCGTCTGTTTGTATTATGTACAAAATCCTCTAGGTCGGCTTTGTACAGTAAATTATAAATTGAGTTATTTGAGAAACTCTGATCCTTCTTATTTTTCAAAAGTTTAATTATAAAAATGATTTGATATTTTCTGTTCTAGGAAAACATAAATCTGAAACTGAATTATTTCACGTAGTTATTTTAAAAGAGAAATCTGATCTTAAAAATATCTGATTAAAAAATTTAATAAAACCTTCACAACCTGCTCTTACAAACATAACAGGATTTTGCCAATTTCTTCTTTTAAAGGGAAAGACCGCCAATGAATGGTGGTTGAACTGAACATGCAGTATTTTGGACAAAGGAATTGAGTCTTTGGAACAAAATCAAATATTTAAACCACAATATCTTTAGAACTTGATGTTATAAACCTTTGATATTTCAAACTCAGATTATTTGAGCTAACAGAATTCATAGTTTGAAATATCTAAGGTATGCAACATTTGGTTCCAAAGATATAGTTATCAGAAAATCAGAGTTTGTGGCAAAGACTCAATTCCTTTATTAGAATTCATTTGAGACATAGAAAACGTTTTAAAGATCTTTATTTGCTGATTTTGAGCGCAAAGTCGACGGTCAAAATCGTGAATTTTGGTGGGAACGTGTTCAGAATTGGTTTTTTTAAATTTATTAAATAACGACGACAAAAAATGTAAATAAAATTATGCAGTAATCTTATTAGATGTTTAGGTACAGATTGGGGGAAAAGTGAAGCATTTCGATTTACCTTCATTTATTAAAAGTTTGTTTATTTGAATTCTGAATTGAATATCTTCACTTCATGTACGAAGACGACAGTTCTCCTCTCAATCAAATAATCATTTAAAATTTGATATATTTAACGAATGAAATTCCTTTTTATTTCAAGTATATTGATACATATAATTACATATTTGATATTTCAAACAGAATTAGTCGTTTGGCCATTAGTAAATCTGAGTTTGTGGCAAAGAATCAATTTCTTTATATGTTTGTTGACCCCTACGCCCTAAGATGAGGATCATGTAATGTACTAAATAAAGTGCATTGATCTGATATAATAGACAAGCATTGTATTGGGTTGTATTTGTGTATATAGTTAGGGTTCCATTAATTTGATCTAATACAAGAATAGAGGTATATATATATATAGAGATACATCATTATTGGTTTTATTCATCTCTAGTCACTTTTAACATTGTTTCTCAACAAGCATATTCAGGATAAAAAATAATAAGATAGATAAGAATAGATAAGAATATGAAGAGGTAAATAAATAGATTTTAGAATATTTTGATTTGTTTTGACGTTTATAGGGTAGTATCAAACAAGTCTTTGCAACAAACTCTGATTTCTGATTTCTATCTTTGCAGCCCGATGTCGTAGACCTTAAACATTTCAAACCATGAAATTTGTCAGATAAAACAAAGATATAGGGATTAGAAAATTTGAGTTTGTATATAGATACACCATGATATAATAAATATATTTTAAAATTTATCAAAATTATAATTTAGATTAGTTTTATTTCAGGTTGTTTGGTTGTCCCACGGTATGTTTAAATCCTCCTGCGAAGTATCTGTTGAGTACTTCCCGTTTGATATCCAGGATTGTCAAATGAAATGGGCCTCGTGGACTTATGATGGATATTCGGTGAGTTAAAGAGACTATACACTTAATTTCAAGTTAATCTTTCGTACAACAATACCCTTTAAAACAAGTATACAATTCTGTCCATTGCTGCACTAATCTCCAAATAACTAAAATAGAAAAACGCAATTGAAAATTATCAATTTTAGATAGAAAAAAAGAAATGATATGTCCATAATATTTGATCAGAAAAGATTCAAATTGCACCATTACTCTTTAGATTATGAGTTCTTTGAAAATAAGTGCACAGTCCCTTTTATGGTATTCTTAAAGCTGGCAGTAATGTATATAAATCATGGTAAATTACAAACCTGAGAGGTTTAAGATTTTATATACAGGGTTTCTCATAAATAATGAGACTTTTAATAGTGAAAACGAAATCTTTGATCACAGTTAACAAAAAAGAAAAAATTAATTTAAATTTGTAAATGATGTATCAAATATTTAAAGTATTGGTATCTACAGAGGATTGCAGACCATATCTATATCTATTATGACGCGTATCTATAGAATCCCTTCAGACAGATCCCGGTTGTATACAAATATATACATGGTCAGGATCAACTGTAAACAAAGCAAATATATATATGGTCAGGGTCAACTGTAAACTAAGCAAATGTATATATGGTCAGGGTCAACTGTAAACTAAGCAAATATATATATGGTCAGGATCAACTGTAAACTAAGCAAATATATATAATGTCAGGGTCAACTGTAAGCAAAGTAAATGTATATATGGTCAGGATCAACAGTAAACTAAGCAAATGTATATATGGTCAGGATCAACTGTAAACTAAGCATCGTGCAATCCTGCGCGAGTGGAAGCACTGGCAATTTAGCCTCACGAAAAAGTAGATTTTTGAAGAAAAAAAATATTGCTAACCCCAGGGTACTCAGGCTTTCTTTCGAAAAATTCCAGCCAGATTGGTCCAGCCGTAGGGGCAGCCTATAGCTAACATTTATATATATGGATCTTCAATATGTATACTTTGCTTGTCTGTTTGTATCCATTAAACGTCAAAACGGCTGAACCGATCAGGCTCAAACTTTGTTGTTCACAATTGAGATAGAGAAAATGTTCACAATTGAAATAGAAGATGAAAAAAATTTGTATTATATACTAGCTGAAGTGCCCGGCGTTGCCTGTAGAATTTAAAAAAAAAATTTGAAATAAATTCCGATTAAAAAATCGATTTTGAACTTTTTTTAGCGTAAGATACCCTCAGGCTACGCAAGGGTTTCCTTAAAAAATTTCAGCCAATTCGGTACAGCTTTATTATTTAGATAATTAGCAAAAGTACAATATTTACTGTGGAAAAATATTATTGTTTTGCCTTCTCACCCCTCGGGTTTCAGTCCAGCTATAGCTGACATATATATTTAATTTTTTATGTAGGTTAGAGAAGAGCTTTATTCTAAATTTATGTTATCCAAAATTCTAAATTTATGTTATCCAAAATTCTTGATTTTTCGTTGCATTTCTTTATTTCGTAAACCTCAAATTTTTTTTGGCTCGTTCGTCAATGATCAAAGAAGACATGAATTTTTTTTTTTAAATAGACCACTCTTGGCATTAAGCGTCTTTTCTGCAGAATCAAATATATATATATAATCCATTAAAAACAATCCTTTAAAACCACATCAGATTTCGAGGATTTATTTCTAAAAACTGTAATCTCAAAAATCTTCTAAACTTGGAAATTGATGAGGTGCTATGAAAGCCAGCTAAATGATTTAAAATTTCATTAATCAGAAAGTTGTGAACTTCACACAAAAAAAAAAAAAAAAAGATTTAATAACAATTTAATCAACTGTAAACTGGAGTATTTTTTAATTATCTTTAAGTGTAATCTTAGGTTCAAAGGCAATTTCAACAAAAAAATTGATTGTTTGCTACAAACCCAAATATTCGTATCCCTATATCTTTGCAATTTGATGGTGTAAACTTAGACTATTTGAGCAGAATTAATAGTTTGAAATATTAAAGGTCAACAACTTCGGGCTGCAAAGATAAAGGGATTAGAAAATCTGAGTTTGTGGCAAAGACTCGATATCTTTCAAGGAAAGATTCATACCCTATTCACACTTTTTTGATAAATCTTATCTTGAAAAGTCTTTGATTTCTCTAATGCATATATCAGCTTGTCCCTTCATTATATAAAACCCATGTATTTTAAAAGGGACCAATTTTTAAATAAAAAACAAGATAATATTCATAGTGTTTACTCTGACTAATTTTGAAGGGTACCTAGGTAAATCCGGCATGCCACTTGAAATTACAAAGACAGTCCCATTAAACATTTAAAGAATTTTTTTTCACCAACTTTTTATTGCGAATTAAACATGAAGTTAAAAATGGTTGCTAAGGAATTGAGTCTTTTCTGATCCCTATATATTTGTAACCCTATGTAGTAGACCTTAGATATTTCAAACTATGAGTTCTTTAAGATCAAATAATCTAAGTTTGAAATATCAAAAGGTTTAAACTATCAGGTTGCAAAGATATAGGGATAAGAAAATTTGAGTTTGTGGGAAAGACTCAATTCCTTTAAAGTAGAAAAGATCAGAGATGAAAAACGCATGATTTTGAATAATTTTGAATAAGTAATTTTGAGAATAGAAATATACAAAACTAAATTGAAGTTTGCATGCATATTAGAATTGGGACTGTGTAAGCAAGAGAAATTTTATTTAAGAGGCAGGTTCTTTTTCAATTATCTGAAAATGAAATGAATTTAAACGCAATTTAAGAAAATAAATGACAAAAAATGTTCAGTCTAGAATTGGAAAACATTTAAGCCATCTTTAGACATTTCGGAAAATTTGATATCTACCAAAGTCGTTCAGCAGTAGATAAAATGATGTACACATTTCTCCAATCTGTTTGTATAGCTTGAGGCCCACTATCAATCTTATGATCTCTAGTTTTTTTACAAGGTTTTACAGGTTTGAGTTTGTAAAGATTTATAAGATTAGATTTTGCAAGTCTATAAATAAATATATAGTATACGTATAATGCATAGAGATACATTACAGGTCATATATTTAATCAATGCTTTCTTTTTTATGCCATAAACTGTAGACTGTAGCTAGTAGACGTAGACTGTAGACTGTAGACTGTAGACTGTAGACTGTAGACTGTAGACTGTAGACTGCAGACTGTGGACTGTGGACTGTAGACTGTAGACTGTAGACTGTAGACTGTAGACTGTAGACTGTAGACTGTAGACTGTAGACTGTAGATTGTAGACTGTAGACTGTAGACTGTAGATTCTAGACTATAGATGATCGACTACAAACTATAAAGATAAATCATCAAGCATACTTTTCTGATTGCTTTTTAAGCAATCTCAGTTAAACCTTTTCCCGCAATTATGAAAGTATGTTGCTGTTACAAATACTTCTGGTTTTTTTTAACCTTTTTTAAAACAACATTAATTCTCTTTGTTTATATTTGTTTTCACACGTTGTAGCTGTCTTTAGAAGAGATAAAATATCAGTAATTCTTGACCAGGCAAATGTTTTAAGGGTACTGTTGTAAATAGGACATGTAACTTTTGAAATGGTTTGATTAGTTACTCGAGATTACAATTACAGTTTCTTTTCAAGGGACTGTAATTGTAATTTCAATCTACCTTCCATTTAAAAATGGGCAATTATAATTTGTGGCGAGTAATCATAGTAACGTGACTACTGACTGTTGAATTATAATGTGTGGCGAGTAATCATAGTAACGTGACTACTGACTATTGAATTATAATGTGCATTCCCGTATCCGTAATTTAAAATAATCCGTTTTTAAAGAGTAGATAGTTGATATCTTGCATTCTTCAACATGTTAAGGGGACAATTTTGAATCGAACATTTCACTCGAAATTTTGTCAATAGTCCCTATAAATAATATATTTTGTCTATAGTCCCTTTAAATAATATATTTTTTCAATAGTCCCTTTAAATAATATATTTTGTCAATAGTCCCTTTAAATAATATATTTTGTCAATAGTCTTTTTAAATAATATATTATGTCTATAGTCCCTTTATATAATACATTTTGTCTATAGTCCCTTTAAATAATATATTTTGTCTATAATCCCTTTAAATAATATATTTTTAGTTGGATTTGCGAGATCAGAATATTAACTCCAGCGGGGATATGAGCAATTATCAGGTATCGGGTATTCATACATAATATTTTTTTTTTTATAAAATTGATGTTTACTTAATGCATGCAGTTCGCATTTACCGCGAAACAAATTGATGCGAAATTTTGCGAGAAAAACTAAAATTTTCACTTTTATTCGCGAAATTTTTTGTTTTTGTTTTTTTTTAAATTATTTTCTATAATTGAATTAATTAGAAAGTAATAAAATAATTTTATTTTAGATGACTGCTTTGTTAAAAAAAAAAAAAAACATAGTAAACCCACGCAAATGAATTGAGTTTTGTAATCCCTTTTATCTTTGCAACCCGAAATAAGAAATTTGTAACTTTCAAAATATGAATTATGTGGGATCAGATAGTGAAAGTTTGAAATATCAAAGGTTTACACCATCAGGTTGCAGAGATATAGGGAATGATTATTTTGAGTTTGTGACCAAAAAAACTCAGTTCCATGCATTAAATTATACATAACAATTAATATTTGACCCCTTAATGCTCGGTAAATACAATCCTTCTCGATAAAGAGAAATGTTCAATCCAAAACGTTATAGCACTGCTAACCATGATATAGCTCATAATAGGAGGTAAAATTTCAACAACAAAAAAGTTTTTCCATATCGAATCCTGAAGAAAAAAATTGACCAATCCCATAAATATATGAACCTGTAGAAATGGACCTTGTAATGTGGTCCCTAGAAGAGAATCCAACGCGTATTTTCTGGAAGTAGAAATAGAGTTAATAAAGTAAATGTTTGTAAACAAAAACCAGGATGGACGAAAAAAATTATCGATTTTTTAAAACAATCGAAAAAATGAATGATTTAAAATAGTTCGAACCATTTTGATCGTTCATTATCGATTTTTAAATGTTCGGTTGAACTAACTTGAAAACACTTTAGTTTTTTTACAGAACGAACGAATTTTCCAACAGATTTTGAAAAAATTAACGATTTTACTAAACGACCGTTCAGTGAAAAAACGAACTAAATAGATGGAAAATGGACGATAATTTTGAGAACAAACGAAATCAATTTATTTTAATAATTGAATAACACGATTGAAATGGAAAAAAACGAAAGCGCACATCTCTGCCTGGATGTGATTCTTCTTTTAAGGGACATGTTGACGTAGTTTCAAAAGATTTTTCATTTTATATTTTTATATGTCAGATTCTGTTCCCTTTAAACCTTTATCTTACAGAGAATAAATCATGTCATCGTTTTTTAAACATGTTGAATTCTGACAATTTCCTTCACTGTTTCTGCATCATAACTCCGCAAATTTATAAATTTTCACATTTTTTAATTACATAATAATGGATACCTTTCTTAATCCTTTATCAGACAAATGTTTAAAGGCCACTATTGCGGACCGGAAATACCATTATAAATTACTTGTACAGTCTCTTTAATGTGTTTTATCCTATAGGTGAACGGTGAGTTTGTTCTGGAGGACTTTAGTTCAGATTATCATATGAAACATTATAGCTGCTGTGAGGAACCCTATCCTGATATAACCTACACTATTAGGTAAACTTTAGTTCAGATTATCATATGAAANATATAATAAGTTTGCTTTCTCTAGATGTGCTCCAATTTGTACGGAAAATGTTGTCTGTTTAGCATAGATAGATAGAATCTGCATATGACGTCACTCTCGCCTCTATAATCTGTGACGTCATAATGGATTTTATCTTTGCTAAGAAAACGACATTTTCCGTACATTGTAGCAGAACGAGACTTAGCAACCATATTTTACAACATTGAGTAAATTATACCGTAAATGAAATGTCAACCAAATTTTACCCGATTCACGATAGTACTTTTTGAACCTTTACCCGGGAAAAAGTTACGAAAATATTCTTGTTTTCGTCTAAAAACTGATAGTTTCAAATTAAGATATCTCTACACAGTAATTTACGGGTTTATAAGATAATTTTATTTAAAAATTGAACTCTGTCCAAGGGTGTAAAAAGGACGATATCTTCCCTATGGTTTCAAAGATAAATGATTAAATGGTATAGCGGTATCGGGTAACTAGAAATTACAAATATGGTTTCTGATTTACTCTCGCCTTAAATTCGAATTTTCTAATCCCTTTGTCTTTGCATTCTGATTCTGGTGTGCACTTTTGATATTTCAAACCTCATGTCTACTTGAGAAGGAGCTGGTAGAATTTACAGTCTGAAATATCAAAGGTCTAAGACACATCAGGTTGCAAAGAAAATTTGAAAAGATGATTTTTTTTTATTTTTGACTAGTGACGAACTAAAGCTCTCAATATGAAAAAAATCTGGTTCAGTTTAGTTTTCTGTCGAATATAGTAATTGATAAAGCACAAAAAACAATTAACAGCAGCTGCAGGAAACCATGAATGTATGAAAAGAAATGGAACAACTTCTGTGAAGACTACCGTCACACAGCAAACATTTAAATTGAATTAAACAATTAAAAAAAAAGTTTATAAAGTTCTAATTAGTAAAACTTCAGTGTAATCAAAAGAAATCTAAAGATGCGGGAATTAAGGTTTTGATAAATATAAATAAGTCAAAACAAAGGGACTGTCTTTGTAATTTTACGTGACCCTCCATTTAAAGGGACATGAACGATTCCCAACAATAACCTTTCAATCCTTTTCTAGCTTTGTATAATTATGAAAATAAACCATAGACAATCCATCAATACTAAGTGATCACTCCTGTATGCCGAGTCCATTAGCGCCTGATCCAATCATGGGGTTCAGTCATTTGCTTGTTGTTCTGAACCAATAGAAATTGTAATGCGGTAACATTTATCTTTCTATCTTTCTCATTATCTAATTAGAAATAAATCCTTACATCGGCGCTATACATTAAATGGAAATATTTACTTCTACTGAAACTATAATGTGATCTGAGAGATAGATAGATATTTTTTACCACCTAAAATGTAAGCAAAAAATAAGAAAGTAAATCAAAGGAAGCACTGGAAAAATAACTTGCTTTTAAGAGTACTTACATAAACAACCCCAATTCTTCAAAAATTGTACAATTTTGAACCTCTGAACCTTTACCAATATCTACTCTGTGAAATAATAAACACAATCTTTGTACAGCAAGAAATGTGCGCAAATCACATTGGTAGAGAACCTACAATTAAGCACATTCAGTTTTCAAAAACAAAATCATGAATCATTATTTGATCAGCTAGACTAAGCTTTAACCTGTTACCGTTGTGAATTGGACATTCTTTCATGGNAACAGTATAAGGAATTGTAAAGATGATGGTCATTGAAAAGTTGTTTGGCATGTCTCTTATAATAAACCAAAAATATTAAAAAATTGAAAAGTTTTTCATTAAAAGTACGTTTTTAAACTTGAAGTCATAGAATCAATAAAATATTTAGAATTCGGCGCCGACCCCTTTTCTACGTGTTTAATCTTATTCTACCCTGTGTGCTCATCAATGGAATAGGTAAAGAAATATATTTATAAAAAGATAAAATAAAAAATTTTATTTTGAATAATCTTTTTTGTTTGTTTATTTTCTTTTGATTTTTAACAAACATTTTTTTATCGATTTTGATGGTTATTATATCGTTAGAACTGACAAGGGTCAACCCAGACCGAAATATATTTTCAATAAATGTGGAACTAACAAAAAAAAAATCTTGATTGAGGTTTGGTCCATCACCATCACCGAATTTTAAATAATAAAAAGTTAAAGGTCATGTCTCCCGAAAAATAAGTTAGTTTGATTTTTAACTCTGGGGGTTAAATAATATTAATGACTACTTTTATATATATTACTTTAATGGATATATTTCTTACTTTAATGGATATATTAAATTTACTTTAATGGATATATTATTTAATTTAATGGATATATTATGAACTTTAAATGATATATTATTTAATTTAATGGATATATTATTACTTTAATGGATATATTATGTACGTTAAATGATATATTATTTAATTTACTGGATATATTATTTACTTTAATGGATATATTATTACTTTAATGGATATATTATGTACTTTAAATGATATATTATTTACTTTAATGGATGTATTATTTACTTCAATGGATATCTTAATTACTTTAATGAATTTATTATTTACCTTAATTAATATCTTAGTTACTTATATGGATATATTATTTACTTTGATTTCAATTTAAAAGTAACCCCAAATAGAACATAACAGTTCTTAGATTTCCGCTTAATTAAGTTTTTACCTAAATTCTTTTCATAATTTGACAAGCAATTATATTTTTTCTCAATATCTGATTTATGGAAATTATTTACAAAAATGCACGAAACTTATTTTATCTGGGAACAAGAAATAGGAGTATTTTTACGTAATTTGTATTCCACTCAGGGAAAATGTAAATTAAAACTTCAATGCAACTTGGGCAGATAGTTTGTATTCCTTCAACTTGGTTTGTACATAAAATTGTGTAGGGTCTCTTTTTATTATTATAGTTATGTAGGGTCTCTTTTTATTATTAAAGTTATGTGGGGTCTCTTTTTATTATTAAAGTTGTATGGGGTCTCTTTTTATTATTAAAGTTGTGTGGGGTCTCTTTTTATTATTAAAGTTATGTGGGGTCTCTTTTTATTATTAAAGTTGTGTGGGTCTCTTTTTATTATTAAAGTTGTGTGGGGTCTCTTTTTATTATTAAAGTTATGTGGGGTCTCTTTTTATTATTAAAGTTGTGTGGGGTCTCTTTTTATTATTAAAGTTGTGTGGGGTCTCTTTTTATTATTAAAGTTGTGTGGGGTCTTTTTTATTATTAAAGTTGTGTGGGGTCTCTTTTTATTAATTCTTAACAGAGACTTTTTTTTAAATGGCATTGAAACTGTAGAGCCGAATTAATCTTATATATCAATTCCAAGACCAAAATTAATGAATTATTTATTAAAAGGAAAATAAAATAACAATATGTTTTTCAGCACTTTTGGTGTTCTATGTTCCTTCAGAGTCTGGAGAAAAGGTAAAAAGATCCAAACTGGAAAAAAAAAATCAAAAGAAAAGAATGAGCGACCAGGCCTCCACAAAAAATCTAAATATATTTCATTTTTGAAAACCTTATATTGTATATACAGGGTTACCCAAAATGGTTAAGACTTTAATGTTAAAAGTTTGTGAATATAACAATCTAAATGTTAAATTTGGTTTTGTACCTTTAGATTTAGTCAGTGGTAGAACCTTCTATATTTTACAAAGAAAAGCAAAAGATTACAAAATTATTCTGGGCAAAGATTATTTCAAATAAATAAGTGGATTGGAGTCCTGTGAACTGGAGACCCTGGAGTCAAGAAGGGACAAACTTTTCCTCTCTTTTGCAAAGAAATGTATTAAATCTTCTAACCATCGTCATCTCTTCCCTGTTGCAGTTCACCCACATGAACACCAACTATACCACCAGGAGTGGTATCATGTCAGTCATACCATGACAGAAAAATATAGATAATCTGCCATTCCATGCAGAACTAATCATTTATTTGTAATATTATTATTATTTGGTAATGGTAATCACTTTTTGATTTTACTCAATAAATCATTATTTATTATTTATTTTATTTATTTTTTAAGGTTACAGCTCCAGGAAACCGTAAATGTAAAAAAAAGGATTGAAAAAATGTTTTAAGCTTTGTGGGTAACCCTTTATATATGTATATAATATACATAATATAATATAATATAATATAATATATATAATTTTTTTTGTTATTTTTTAATATGTCAATAAAAAATTGTACTCTTAAATTTCGTTTTGACCTTCAAAATATACTCAAAGTGTAGTTGGTCCCTGTTTTAAAGATTATAAAAAAAATCGTACTTTTTTTACGTCATTTATTAAAAAATTCTCAATTTTCTATTCCGTCATATAAAACGTTAAAATTACATAAAGAGACCGAGCACATTTTCGAAAATTAGGCCTGCTTTTAAAGGTTTAAACGGCATTATAGAGAAAAATGTGACATCAAACTCTATATATATTAAAAACTGTAGGTAACCCTGGGTATATCTGCTCTGCTATCAATGACAGTATTTCTGATGACAATAAGAGAAAGTCTTCCTCCAACAGAGAAAACTCCACTGATAAGTAAGTTCATCCATTAAACCTATTCATGAACCTTTTCCGATCTTCCCCCCTCTCCCCCCCCCCCAAACCTACTCTGGCCCCTCCATGCCTCCCTTCCTCTTATAAGGCAATAAGTTTGAGTTATAAGCGATGTCCATTTTTTAAAATTTTATTTCTTATTTCTTCTCCCAGAGTAAAAAAATTGCACAATGTAGTAATAGCAAAAAGCAAATAAAAATTTGTACCTTTAAAAAACGCTTCTTGAGATGGCTCTTAAAAGCGTAAAACCTATAATGATTAAAAACGAACCAAATAAGATCCAACCCCCCACACCCCCCACCCCAACTTTTAACTTAAAACTGTATCTCCGAGTAACAATATCTTTAATGTTTATTATAAAGTTTGATCGTAAAAAAGTTAGGATTTAGTTTGAATTTACACCAAAAAATACAAATTGTTTTAAAACAGTTTCCTAGCTTCTAAAATTTTGTTTTTTTATTTATTTGATGCAGTAAATACTGCAATATCTATTCTTCGGACAATATTTAACAATAGCAGAAATAATCAAATTTTTTGCGGATTTTTAAAATTTTAAAAGTTTTAATTATTTAAATGTAAAATTTTAAAGTTTGGCAAGCCAAAATAATTTCTTTGATCACATGAAGTCCACAACATGTTGCAGCAAATGATTTCACCTTTTTTAAGAAGTCATTTAGGTCAAATATGTTATTTTATTTTATTAATACGGTAAAAATTATCCGAATAATATGCTCTTCAATATTAGTGACGACTAACATATATTAAATGGAAGTAAAATATGGAAAGTTAAAACTTTTTAGATTAGCAGCTAGCTGGTGTTGTGCATTAAGTTGGTTCGTTTTTATGTTCATGTTTTCTTTCGGGTTAAAAATTTGGCATAATTGCATGTAAGAAGGGAAAATGTTTATTTTTTTATATTTTAATGTAAACATTTGCTGAGCCAAAAAAGATCTCAAACGATCCAAAAACAAGCGTGATATAAGTAATTAAAATCAGGATAAAAAAAATTGTGTTGGAGCAAGTAATTTTTTTTTCGTGTGAATATAATTTTGTTTAGCTCTATATTACGGAGTTTCTATCTGCCTGGTTTCCTTTGCTAGCGCTATGGCAGTAGTCACCCTTAACATACACTACAGGGGTCTCAGGGGCGCAGAGGTAATACTTAATACAGGGTTCTCAGGGGCGCAGAGGTAATACTTCATACAGGGGTCTCAGGGGCGCAGAGGTAATGCTTAATACAGGGTTCTCAGGGGCGCAGAGGTAATACTTAATACAGGGGTCTCAGGTGTGCAGGGGTAATCCTTGATACAGGGGTCTCAGGGACGAAGATGTTTATATTTAATACAGGAGTCTCAGGGGCGCAGAGGTAATATTTCACAAAAAGGAGGGTAGAGGGGTATAGTTATTACAAATGTTTCAGGGGCGCATAGGTAATATTTAATACTGGAAGCTCAGGGTGCAAAAAGTTTAACTCCATACTTATTTTATCCAATTGTAGTCTTAGTTTGTGGTTTATTATACGCATGCAATACACAGGGTATGTTTATTTATAAGACCAACAATTAAACAAATTTTCTATAATTTTCCTAACTTTTAATTTGTTTTCTTCACATTTGTCACAATTTGTATAAGCCTAAATATGTAGCACAAATCCACGCATATTGGACTGAACTTATTAATAACTAAACATAAAACGTTTTTAAAAATCGTATTTTTAGGTTCCCGAGCAGATTAAATCTATATTCCTTGGATTCTTTGCTAGAATCGTCTTCGTTCTTCCAACTTCAGATTTTGCCAAGAGAAAGAAAGACGCGGCAAAAAGAAAGGTAAAAATAGTAATGGCGGCGTTTATAATTGATTTCTAGGTGACAGAAAAATCTAGAAAATTAATATCAGTTTTAGTAGTTTTAAGTATTTTTATTTTTGTGCAATGGTTCATTTGTAGTTTTGTAGATTTACAATTCTCTGCGCGTTCCCAACTTTAGATTTTAATATAATATTGAATAATAAATATGTATTCTGAATTCAATGGAAGGAAGATAATAAAAAATTCTCTCAAAGAATTTGGTAAAATATTTAAACTTAGTGCTCATATCCTTGTACCCTTGTATCATTGTTTCTTTGTATTCTTGTATCCGTGTATCCTTGTATCCTTATATCCTTGTAACATTGTTTCTTTGTATTCTTGTATCCTTGTATCCTTGTACCCTTGTAAAATCGTTTCTTTGTATTCTTGTATCGTTGTATCCTCGTATCTTTGTACCCTTGTATCATTGTTTCTTTGTATCCTTGTATCCTTGTATTCTTGAATCCTTGTATCTATTTGATATTGTATTTCTAATCCTGATATACTGGTATCCTTTAAATCTTATATTCTTTTATTCTTGTATCATTGTATCCTTGTATCCTTGTAACCTTTTACCCTTTTATCATTGTTTTTTTTTGTATCCTTGTATCCTTGTATTCTTGAATCCATGTATCCTTTTGATATTGAATTCCTAATCCTGGTATACATGTATCCTTTAAATGTTGTATCCTAACTCTGCTTATTGTAGAGCTATATATAGAAAAGTATTAAATGGATATTTTTACCATTGTATCTCTTTATCATTGTATCCTTCTATCCCTATCAGAATAATTAACTGTATTTTTGGCAAGGAGGGGTTGGGGGAAAGAGGGGGAAAATTCAGCTTTGAAATTGTTTTAAAAAGAATCCTAGTGTAGCGATAAGAGAGCTATACTCCAGGAGAACTACATAAAACTTTGTTCTAAGTTTGAAAGGAGAAGGTTTAGAAGATTTAGATTGTAATTACTTGTGTAATTAATATACAGAAAACTTTATAGAACAATACAAACCATTAGCGCGGATAATTAATTACTAAACATTTTCCTAGTTAAGAAGAAAACTACTTTAAAGGATATATTGTAAACTATTTTTTCACATTGGGTATGGTCGGTGTAATAATCTAAAATATGTATTAAGCTTATCTAACATTTAACCTATTTGAAAAGCTAAAAAAAAATTGGCCGTCACAATATGCTAATCACAAATTCAAATCCTTTTTTGTTCATAATTTCACACAAAATGTTAATAATTTCACACAAAATGTTCATAATTTTACACAAAATGTTCATAATTTCACACAAAATGTTTGTAATTTCACACAAAATATGCGTAATTTCATACAACATGTTCATAATTTTTACACAAACTATTCATAATTTCACACAAAATGTTCATAATTTCACGCAAAATGTTCATAATTTCACACAAAATGTTCATAATTTCACACAAAATGTTCATAATTTCACACAAAATGTTCATAACTTCACACAAATTGTTCATAATTTCACACTAAATGTTCATAATTTCTTACACAATGTTCATAATTTCACACAAAATGTTCATAATTTCACACTAAATCTTCATAATTTCTTACACAATGTTCATAATATCACACTAAATAATTTCCACTAATGAATATTAAAGGTTACAAAAAAAAATCCCAAATCCCAAAAAGTTAAACATAATTAGCATTTCTTTCCCTCGATTATAATTCAACAAAAACGTAGGAAATGTTTTTGTTGAAAGGTGCGCACAGTGCATCAGTTTATTAGCGTACAAATCTTTTCCACAAAAAGTTTAGTTTTATAATTTTAATTAAAGGGACTGTAAGCGTGATTCTTAGTTACCCTCCATTCAAATATATTGTATTTAAATCTAAAAAACGACAATATCTTCCACATTATTGATCAGAAAAAAGTTTAAAGGGAACCATTGTGACTCAGGTATTGCCATCTTTGCATGGATGGTATTTCACTTAAAGTCCCTTTAAATAGAAATAGATAATTTAATTGATTGTTCAAACTTTTGTTCGTCGAAAAAAGTTTTCATTTAAAATGAAATTTTAAATTATTAATTATTATTTTTTAGGAGTTAAATGCAAGCTTTCAGGGGGGTGGAGGAGATAATGACAAATTAGAGCCTGGGATATTCAATAGGAACCAATATCATCATAATCTTTATATAGAGTGCCATAATCTTTATATAGTGTGCCATAATCTTTATATAGTGTGCCATGATCTTTATATAGAGTGCCATAATCTTTATATAGTGTGCATAATCTTTATATAAAGTGCATAATCTTTATATAGAGTGCCATAATCTTTATATAAAGTGGCATAATCTTTATATAGAGTGCATAATCTTTATATAGAGTGTCATAATCTTTATATAGAGTGTCGTAATCTTTATATTGAGTGTCGTAATCTTTATATTGAGTGTCATAATCTTTATAAAGAGTGTCATAATCTTTATATAGAGTGCCATAATCTTTATGTAGAGTGCCATAATCTTTATATAGTGTGCCATAATCTTTATATAAAGTGCCATAATCTTTATATAGTGTGCCATAATCTTTGTTTAGAGTGGCATAATCTTTATATAGAGTGTCATAATCTTTATATAGAGTGCATAATCTTTATATAGAGTGTCATTATCTTTATATAGAGTGCCATCATCTTTATATAGTGTGCATAATCTTTATAGAGTGCCATAATCTTTATAAAGTGTGCATAATCTTTATATAGAGTGCCATTATCTTTATATAGAGTGCCATAATCTTTATATAGTGTGCATAATCTTTATATAAAGTGCATAATCTTTATAAAGAGTGTCATAATCTTTATATAAAGTGGCATAATCTTTATATAGAGTGTCATAATCGTTATATAGAGTGTCGTAATCTTTATATTGAGTGTCATAATTTAATATTGAGTGTGATAATTTAATATTGAGTGTCATAATCTTTATATTGAGTGTCATAATCTTTATATTGAGTGTCATAATTTTTATAAAGAGTGTCATAATCTGCATATATTTTCATCGTTTATCAGCGGCATTTCTCAATGAAAAGACCATTTCACCTTTTCCTTTCAAGAATTTCATTAAAGTAAGAGTTTGTGTTGGGGAAACAATAAAATTCATTGCAAGTGTGATTCCTTACAATCTTTTTTTTATTGTTGATGTTGATGTTGATGTTGATGTTGATGTTGATGTTGATGTTGAGGTTGATGTTGATGTTGATGTTGATGTTGATGTCGATGTTGATTTAGATGTTGATGTTGATGTTGATGTTGATGTTGATGTCGATGTTGATGTTGATGTTGATGTCGATGTTGATGTTGATGTTGATGTTGATGTTGATGTTGATGTTGATGTTGATGTTGATGTTGATGTTGATGTTGATGTTGATGTTGATGTTGATGTTGATATTGACTCTAAAAAAGGTCCCAAAGTCCCATCTTCTCTTCTGCAACAGCTAATGGTCGACCGTACCATCCCAACCACATGAACAGCAGTCAACAACAGCCGGGCAACGGGTCTGGGCAACAGCATAACGGTCAGCAGTCTCTCAACCACATCCATCCTAACAACCTTCATACCTGTGATCTACTCAGTGACCCAAACGGTAAAAAGGGGAGAAAAAAGTATTAACGATTCACATTTATCTTTATACTTTGTTTGTTTTGGTGTCTGTATCCAATAAACGTAAACACGGCTGAACCGATCGGGCCAGAATTTTGTGTGGGACCACACATGACGCCAGGAAAGTTTTATGGATGATTTCAAGAATCAGCCTCTAACAAAATTCGATTTTTGTTAAATTGTGAAAATCCACGATTTTTTATAAATTCCGCGAACTTTATTTGTTAATGTTTTACAATGTCTACAAAGAGAAAAGAAGTGTTCTGAAAAGCCTAGTTTATTGAATACTGATGGGTTTCGGAGGATTGAGGTCCGTTTTTAGACATTCTAGGTGTGTTGGCTTTTAGGAGGCTCAACGGGAATCGAAGATGTCAACCATATTTTAATTTTTTAAGTTGGCTTTTTTTTACATCTTGCAAACATTTTTCTCTAACCAAAGATATTAATCAAAACAAATTGATGGTTAATACCTTTGGTTTGAGGAAAATTTAACTTAATATAATTAAAAGCAAAGTTACAAAAATTGGACATCTCAGATTCTTTTAAACTGTTTTAAGCAAAACAACGTTTTTCTGCCAGAAGCACATCTATCAATGTAATACAGATTTTTTTAAATAAATGGTTTTTTCGTTAGTTATCCATCATAATACAGTGAGAACCAGAAAAATGTGGAATAGGAAGACTTTATGGCAATCTTTTAGTGTATTTGATGTGTTTCCAAACCAAATAGTTTTACTTGTAACTTATTTTTGAATGGGTCTGTTTACACTGCACACTTGTCTCATGTTCATTGGACTATTTAAAGTCTTAAATTGGTTCAAGAAGTCGTCTTCTTATTACAGAATTTTCTGGTTCTTACTGTATAATGATTTTAAAAACTTGAAACCATGGCGTAAGAATTCTTGAGTCTAAATTATTAAAAATATTTGGAAAATTATATTTTTTGATAAACTATGTGTTTAGTGGATGGATCAGATCCTAGATATCAATTAGTCCTCGACAAAGTGTCCTCTACTATTGATAGGAATGAGGTAAAGAAACAAGACTCTAGTTGTGTAATCCATATATCTTTGATACCTGAAGGTGTGGAACTTGATATTTTCCATATTCTATATAGATCCAATAGTCAAAGCCTGAAATATCAAAGGTTTAAACCATCTGATATGGGAGTTAGAAAAGGAATTTAGTCTTTGCCGCAAACTCTTATTTAATGGAACTTTCAACTGTAAGACCAGAAATGTAGTTTACTGTATTACATGTGAACACTGTAAACTACAATATATAAAAAGAAACCGAAAAAATAAGTTGGATGCCGATCAATTAAGTTAGAAAGAAACCGACCAAATAAGTTGGAAAGAAACCGACCAAATAAGATGGAAACCGACCAAATAAGTTGGAAAGAAACTGACCAAATAAGTTGGAAAGAAACCGAAAAAATAAGTTGGAAGCCGACCAATTAAGTTGGAAAGAAACCGACCAAATAAGTTGGAAAGAAACCGACCAAATAAGTTGGAAAGAAACCGACCAAATAAGTTGGAAAGAAACCGACCAAATAAGTTGGAAACCGACCAAATAAGTTGGAAAGAAGGTTGTCAATAAAGTCTCATATTTTAAAATCGAAATGTCAAGTTATTTGTCCCAAAAATTTGAATTTAGAAAGAACGTTTTCTGGTCTGAAATTTCTTCAAAATTTAAAACCATTTTCAACTATTTTTGATTTGTTACATTACATTAGCAATAAACCTTTTTTGAAAGCAAAAACATTATTAAAATATCCTTCTTTTTAAACTAAAATTTGATCATGTTTAGCTGTCAAAATGTCTCGTTTTTCAGGAGAGAACAAAGACAATTTTTTCCCTTTTATGTCAATTAAATGGGTACCGTTGTAAATCGGACATGTAATTAATTAATCATTTTAATAACGTCATATGTCCCTTTAAACTTCTGTTATGACTGAGCAAGGCTCAATAAAATTAAAGTTGTAAGTCGTATCCCAGCACATAAGAAAACTTAAATCCTTTATATAAATTTTATTAAACAACTTTTAACAGAAGAAATAATAGAAATAATAATATAAGAAACTTACACGTAAACCAGTTATACTAAGAATATTGAAGGGACAGTTAGCTTTATTTCAATTGACTTTTATCGATAAAGTGGCATGTCCGATTCACAACAGTATCTTTTAAACTTTGTCTGAACAAATATGAATTAATTATCCATGTCTTTTTAAACTGGTTATTTTAATTTGTGGTTTCTCTACAAGTAAGAATAGATTTAAAGATTTAGACAAAATATAATCTAAAAAGACTTAAACCTTCTCATAGAAGGAACATTTCTGTCTAAAACCTTCATTAAAGTCAAAATCAAAAAAGTTTTTGAAATAAAAGTGACCAAAAGTTCACAGGAGTCATCGTCATAGAATTGTGTACGGCAAAAAAGTCAGGACTTTTATTTGGAAGAAAATTCCTTGACGAAAAAGAATAACCTTTCCAATTACTTTTTTAAAGGACTCTAATTGATAACGGATTTTTTATGGTTTTTTCTATTTCAAAGACTTTTTTCAAATAATTTCTTTCCCATGACTTCGTTTGTTTGTTTTACCAGCGGTACAAGATTCCGGAGGCTAACATTTCTAAGGTTTTGTAAACTTTGAGGACCATCGGTTGTTGCCGATCAAAAATCAACAAACGACAATATATGTAATATGTATATATTTAAGAAGTTGATTTATTAACAAAAGGATGAGTACATCGCATATTTATTGATTTTATATGTGAAGAGGAGGATGATTCATCCGTGTTCTCGTCTCTGACTTGCGAATTCATCTATTCTTGTTGGTGGATTTCTTCTTTGATAAGAAAGCGGACAACGGTTCTACTAAATAATATTTATGACGCAAATATATGTGTAGGTGAGGTACCTGGAGACAGATATGAAGGAACAGCATGCTCTAGAATGGAAACAGGTATTTTTCCAGGGTATACATTTTCAACCCTCCCCCCCCAAAAAAAAAAAAAAATTGAAATAAAACAGTTTCCAAAATTATAAGCATTGACAACTAGTTCATACTTTATCAAGCAAAGCTTTCCAGGGTACTGTCATAGAAATCAGGCATAGCCATCTTCTGCATGGAAGGTTACTTGAAATTGCACTCACAGTTCCTTAAACACTTTTGCTAACCCCTTCTTTTATTGTAAATTAGCAATTTCAACTCATCAAGAATTATTCCATTTAATCTTATTCTGTAGAAATGAAGTAAATACAATAATTTGTTAAGTTTTCATTTTCAATGAGATGTTTTATAAATGGAAATGGAATTGTAATATCAGATTCTAATTATTATGATAACTTTCAGAATACTTTTGCATTTGAGGATGGGGGGGGGGGTTCTTATGCAGTTGAGGAGTGGGTCTTATATTTTATTAATAGACATTTATCAAAATTTGCTACAAACTCTGATTTTCTAATCCCTATATCTTTGCTACCCAATGTCGTAGCCCTTAGATATTTCAAATTATCTATTCTGTTATATTTGAAATATCAAAGGTTAAACCATCAGGTTGCAAAAATATAGGGATTAGCAAAGTTAAGTTCGGGGCAAAGACTCAATTCAAGACTTACAATATAAGAGAGTTAGTCAATAGCCTTATAGCCTATAAAAAGGGTACTTTACATTATAGAAGTAAATCTATCTATCTTTCTATATAATAGAACTCTTCGCTCATATATATATATATATAATAACCAATCTTAATAAACAATAGAACATGTTCTAGACTTATTTTAAGAAGATATATATTTGTATAAGAGAGTTAGTCAATAGCCTTATAGCCTATAAAAAGGGTACTTTACATTATAGAAGTAAATCTATCTATCTTTCTATATAATAGAACTCTTCGCTCATATATATATATTTGTAATAACCAATCTTAATAAACAATAGAACATGTTCTAGACTTATTTTAAGAAGATATATATTTGTATATATTTTAACCATGCTATAGCTGGCCAAACGGCTAGACCAAATGGGCTAACATTTGTTTAAGGAACCCATTGGTACCCGGGGGGTACCATAATCTCAAAAATTCGAAATTTTTTTGTTTTTAATCAAAAAAATTTTAAAAATTATTCCAATGCCGGGCACTTCAGTAAGTTTCCCAAAGTATGCGTAATAAAAATGAAAACTATTTTTAAAATTTCCACGTTTTTTTTATAAAAACCAATCTAGACCTCTGATTTCGTTTCTCGTATATTTGGTGTTTGTGAATAGATTAAACATATTTCATCAAATATGACGTCTTTCGACCTCATTTACTCCTGTAAAATCGGCACAAAAAGCACAGATCCAGTCCTTCATCGGACCATCCTTGGAGAGAATAATAGTGATCACCAAGCACAGATCCAGTCCTTCATCGGACCTTTCTTGGAGACAGTAATAGTGATCACCAAGCACAGATCCAGTCCTTCATTGGACCATCCTTGGAGAGAATAATAGGGATCACCAAGTACACATCCAGTCCTTCATCGGACCATCCTTGGAGACAGTAATAGTGATAACCAAGCACAGATCCAGTCCTTCATTGGACCATCCTTGGAGACAGTAATAGTGATCACCAAGCACAGATCCAGTCCTTCATCGGACTATCCTTGGAGACAGTAATAGTGATCCATAAGCACAGATCCAGTCCTTCATAAGACTATCCTTGGAGACAGTAATAGTGATCACCAAGCACAGATCCAGTCCTTAATCGGACTATCCTTGGAGACAGTAATAGTGATCACCAAGCACAGATCCAGTCCTTAATCGGACTATCCTTGGAGACAGTAATAGTGATCCATAAGCACAGATCCAGTCCTTCATAAGACTATCCTTGGAGACAGTAATAGTGATCACCAAGCACAGATCCAGTCCTTAATCGGACTATCCTTGGAGACAGTAATAGTGATCCATAAGCACTGATCCAGTCCTTCATTGGACTATCCTTGGAGAGAGTAATAGTGATCCATAAGCACAGATCCAGTCCTTCATTGGACCATCCTTGGAGACAGTAATAGTGATCACCAAGTACACATCCAGTCCTTCATCGGACCATCCTTGGAGACAGTAATAGTGATAACCAAGCACAGATCCAGTCCTTCATCAGACTATCCTTGGAGACAGTAATAGTGATCACCAAGCACAGATCCAGTCCTTAATCGGACTATCCTTGGAGCCATCGTATTGACCTTTTCCTGCATTCGCTGCATTCACTAATTTTATATTTTATATGTTTGGATCTGAGAACTGAGGGGGTTTAATCCCACTAGACCAAGGGCGTATACGGGGGGGGGGGGCAAGGGGGGCAGTGCCCCTACCTAGACCTGTAGAGAACTAGAACTCAGAGCTATCACACTTTTCAAATCTGAAACTGAAGAGTGAAGAGTATTAAAAACATTGATTTACTGTTTTTTCTGCTACACGCACCCCTGACCCTTTAGTAAAAGTAAAATTAACCTTAAGTCTGACTGCGTCAACCTTGTTGCACTGGCAAGTCCTGTTGAGGGTCTGCTTTATTTACCCAATGTCCAGGCGATACAGTACAAGCTGGGACTGGAAAGGTTGACCCGGCTTGGAAATTCAAATGTACTACGGCTGCCCGTGACTAGTTTCGCATATTTTGCCATCCACTAGATTTATTTCTGTATACGACCTTACACTAGACCAAAATATTGCCTGTTCGTCATCAAGGAAACAGATAATTTAATGGTGAGAGGGGAAGTTATATCTTGAACAAAGACTTAAATTATATTCCTCATATACAGTGTTAGGCCAAAGAAGAACTTTTGAGTGCAAAATCTTTTGGAACCAAAACCCTTTTCTTTATGGTTTTTCTGTTAAAATATAGATTTAGGGGACTCCTCTTTTCACCCTCCTCAACTGCCCCTACTGCGGCTAGGACCATGACTGAGGCCAGTTTTTTGGTTCCATAGGCTCTCCATGCAATATATATATATATGCTTAAACGCCCGATTTTGTGGAGAATATTTGGACTAATGATAATTGAAATTTTTTAATCAAATCATTTTTGATCCACAAAATGTTATCAGATCTAAAAACTTCTTACAGTGGGTCAGGCATTGCTTTTTCACAAAAGTTCTTTTGCAAAGAATATTGTCCTATTGCATCATTTGTAAGCTTAGTTCCCTTGAACAAGTTTCTGGTGGTCTTTCTGGACACCCTGTGGCTGTACCCTACCCTCACAGGACTGCACAGTTAGCTGATCGTTGTCCGCCAAGACAAATATGTAGTTTTAACATCAGTGTAGACCAATTATTTACGACAGGAGAGCTACTGACATATTTCTTATATTTTTAAACCGTGCTCCCGTAGTATACACATTTATGGGCACCTTAAAAGCCTCGGCAACCTGAAATTAAATGCATGGCACACCATTTTTACAGGTTTATCAAAGAAACCACCATTTAAACCCACTCCGGAAGGGATTTGCCATTTTCTGTTGTGCGCAAATGCCCTGTAAAATTCCAAAACAGAGAGAGGGTGATTGAATTTTGTAGATCCAGAAAAATAATTAAATTAGTAGTTATTTAGGGTTAGGTTAGGTTAAGACACTTTCTGGGCCGAGCGCTGCGGCCACGGGTTAGGTTAAGTTATGATACTTTCTGAGCCGAGAGCTGCGGCCACACGTCTTACATTTAAGACCCCACCAGCTGCCAGTCTCTACTCAGGTATCCCACAGATATTATTTTTCTGGATCTACAAAATTCAATCCCCCTCTCTCTGTTTTGGAATTTTACGGGGCATTTGCGCACAACATAAAATGGCAAATGCCTCTCCGGAATTAAATCGCTAATTTTCTAAGCAAACTGATTCAGATTTTGTTTTAGCCTTTCAACAGTAAATAATAATTAGTTTCCATCATTATTACGCAATCGCATACTGTATATTCTTTAGTCTGTATGTCTGTATTGAATATTAAATGTACATTGTACAGATTGTACTTGATCACATGCTGTTCTTAGATTCATTATTTACCAGGGGAAATCAAGTACTAGACCAGGGGGGTACAAAGGGTTTTGTCCAGGGAGGGGGGTCCTGTCATTTCTACTTTCCACAGGGGGTCATTCCTACTTTTACCTTAGCTGTCGCTAATCCATGTAAGGGGCTCAGCCCCAAAGCCCCCCCCCCCTTCTCCTCCTGACGCCCCTGGACTTGGCTCTCCAGGGAACCCCTGTTTGTCTGTATTTAGATATTCTTGGTGTATAACAGCAAATGAATTCAGTCTTTGCCACAAACTCTAATTTTCTAATCCCTATATCTGTGCAACCTTTGATATTTTAAACTTAGATTATTTTATCCAATAAAATTCATGTTTGAACTATGTAAGGTCTACAATACAACTTTGGGTAGCATAGATATTGAGATTAGAAAATCAGAGTTGGTGGTAAATCCGAAACAAAATGCTCTGTTTGATAGATGATAGATAGATAGATAGATAGATAGATAGATAGATAGATAGATAGATAGATAGATAGATATGAAGTACACCTGCAGTATGGAAACAGTACAACAAAATGGTCGTTTTACACTTTTTTCTAGTAAATTCCTCTCTATATATTCTATTCTCTATGTTTAAACCTTTTTCTGATACGTTTTAAAAACGCTGTTATTCATGCAGGTGTAAAGTTTTCCTTTGGGTACTCATTCATGTCCTTTTTTAATCAAGGGGCAGCTAAAATTACAAATATTGTTCCTCGAAGAAACTCAAGCTTTTTATTTTTTTATTTTTTTAGGTTGCTCTGGTCATCGATAGATTGTTACTCTTGGTTTTCTTTCTTGCCATGACAATATCATCCCTCGTCATCCTTACATCATCCCCTCATCTCAAGTAATATCATTCTTAAATCATCCCCTCATCTCAAGTAATCTCATCCTTACATCATCCCCTCATCTCAAGTAATCTCATCCTTACATCATCCCCTCATCTCAAGTAATATCATTCTTAAATCATCCCCTCATCTCAAGTAATCTTATCCTTACATCATCCCCTCATCTCAAGTAATCTCATCCTTACATCATCCCCTCATCTCAAGTAATCTCATCCTTGCATCATCCCCTCATCTCAAGTAATCTCATCCTTGCATCATCCCCTCATCTCAAGTAATATCATTCTTACATCATCCCCTCATCTGAAGTAATCTCATCCTTACATCATCCCCTCATCTCAAGTAATATCATTCTTACATCATCCCCTCATCTCAAGTAATCTCATCCTTACATCATCCCCTCATCTCAAGTAATATCATTCTTACATCATCACCTCATCTCAAGTAATCTCATTCCACCATTTCCACCTATCCCCCTTCCTTTCTTCATCCGTCCCACCTAGCCCTCGTCCTTTCCTTATACTTTCCACCTAGCCCTTTTCCTTTCTTTAACCGTTCCACCTGTCCCTCTTCCTTTCTTCCTGATTTCCACCTAGCCCTCTTCCTTTCTTCAACCATTCCACCCAACCCTCTTCCATTCTTCCTTTTTTCCACCTAGCTTTCTTTCTTTCTTAATGCTTTCCACCTAGCCCTCTTCCTTTCTTCCTTCTTTCCAACTAGCACTTATCCTTTCTTCATCCTTTCCACTTAGCCCTCTTCCTTTCTTCATCCTTTCTACTTAGCCCTCTTCCTTTCTTCATCCTTTCCACTTAGCCCGCTTCCTTTCTTCATCATTTCCACCTAGCCCTCTTTCTTTCTTCATCCTTTCCACCTAGCCCTCTTCCTTTTTTCATCCTTTCCACCTAGCCCTCTTCCTTTTTTCATCCTTTCCACCTAGCCCCCTTCTTTTCTCCATCCTTTCTACCTATCCCTCTTCCTTTCTTCATGATTTCCACCTAGCCCTCTTCCTTTCTGTATCCTTTCCACCTTGTCCTCTTCCTCTCTTCAACCCTTCCACCCAACCCTCTTCCTTTCTTTTTTCTTTCCACCTAGCACTCTTCTTTTCTTCATCCTTTCTACCTAGTTCTCTTCCTTTCTTCATCCTTTCCACTTAGCCCCAATCCTTTCTTCATCCGTTCCACCTCGCCCTCTTCTTTTCCTGATACTTTCCACCTAGACCTCTTCTTTTCCTGATACTTTCCACCTAGCCTTTTTCCTTTCTTCAACCGATCCACCGAGCCCTCTACTCTTCTTCATCCTTTCCACCTAGCCCTCTTCCTTGCTTCCTGATTTCCACCTAGCCCTCTTCCTTTCTTCATCCTTTCCACCTGGCCCTCTCTCTTCCTTTTTTCCATCTTTTCATCTAGCCCTTTTCCTTTCTTACATCATTCGACATTTTTTTTTTAATTGGTTCGGGTGCTCTCTGTTTCTCCCTCTAACTGATCAGGTAGAATTAGGAAATTTAAAAAATATATTTTACATTAAAGGAAAAGTTAAGAAATATATTTTTAATTTTAACAATTTGATCTAGCAGAATTTGAACAGTTTGATCAATTTTGAACAATATTTAAACTGAAATTGCAAAACAAATGTCATGTATATTGTATATAGAAAACAAATACCCAAAGGATTTGTTGTGCACCGGACATAAATGCAATTTTAAAATCTGGTGTCACTTCAAATTACGTTGAACTTGAAAGAAACTTTAATCATCTAATATCTCAAGAAGAAAAAATACTTTTAAATTAATTTGAATACAATTATGCCAGTTCTAACTTTAACTTTAATTTTCAGGATTCTATAAATACTGAATTCGAGTTTCCATTGAAAACATTGTAGTTTATGGTTATATATATATAAATATATATGTAAATATTGTAAAATAAATTAGTCTTCTTAGTATAAATGTATGAATCGATGTTGTAAAAGTAATAATATTCACAATCAAACTAAAAAATTATTCGAGGTAAAAAATGTCGACAAAAAAAAATCTGAAAAAAGCTTAGACAAATGTGATAAATCCAGCCCAGTGAATTAAGAGGAAATTTATGTTAAAAATCAAAAAACAACTTTTAATTGCTTGATTGCTTACTTAAGGAGATTAAAAAACAACGCTTCAAATTGATTTTGGAATTTTGGAATAATTCACATTTGTTCCCAAGAGTGTGGCAATAAAAAATAAAATTAAATAAAAAAATTTGAAAAAGTTTTTGATTAAAAAGTCTTAGTTGTAAACAAAACCAGAAGACTTATTTATTTATGTATCCGTCTTGGAGGTGTATCGTAGAAATATTGTAAAAAAATAAAATAAAACTTTTTGATCTGTTATATATTTTGATTGTACAAATGTAGTGCATAGATATTTGCAATTTTAGAAAATTTTGATTAATTAATGCTAAAAATATTAAAATATTTATCTCTTAGTAGAATAAAAATTCAACTAATTATTTATAAATCTTGTAGAAAATTGTTTATTGTTTTATTGTGGACACTTTATTGTAAAGTGTATATTGTATATACTGGACTAAATAAATAAATAAATATATATATTTATCACTTCATTCCAGGCGGGGAAAAATACATTATAGTTGCACGGTTTTATAGCTATATCCACTTTAAAGTCGTCTCTCAATTAGGTTTAAAATGCACCTTTCACTGTGAACTAGACAGTAGGCACGCACCTCTGACCCTTCAGTTAAAGTAAAGGAAATGAGTCTTTGCCACAAATCCCAATTTTCGAAAACCAGATGGCGTAAACCTTTGATATTTCAAACTATGATTATTTGATCCATCAGAATTCATAGTTTGAAATATCTAGGGTCTACAACATTGGGTTGTAGAGATAAAGGGATTTTGAAAATCAGAGTTTATGGCAATGACTCAATTCCTTTAACCTAAAGTCTGACCGCGTCAACCTTGTTGCACCGGCTAGTCCTATTGAGTGTGCTTTATTTACCCAATGTCAAAGATTCTTAGCCCGCTGGAATCTTCTCAATATGAACGAAGCGTGGATGGATGAATGTGCTGCTAGATTACAACCCCTGGTAGATCAATATAAAACCAGACAACACCAAACTTTCGCAATAGAAAAAATTCCGAGATTTGATCGTAACAACCCAATCATGTCCTGGGGACAAAAAAATCTCATTTATTTTATTTTATTTACCCAATGTCCGGGCGATACAGTACAAACTGGGACATAGGTTGACCCGGCTCGGAAATTCAAGTGTACTACTGCTGCCAGTGTAGGAGAAGGTAAAATTCATGCAAAATTATTTTTTGGTCCGACCTTGTGAGCTCGTAGATCCTTTAGTTTTGATAGATAAGCAAGATTATCCTGATGTTACCAATTAGCATAGCTCTTCAGTAAATAGAAAATATATTAGATTTCAATCTTTCGTTCAACTTACCTTACTTTGACGCGTGTTTAGTCAATCAGCTAAATCTTCAAATAAAAGATAAGTCAACAGTATCTTAAAATTTTCAAAATGGCGTCTAGTCTATATTTAAATGTTTGGCCCACACAAGGATTATGATTCTCATGAAACCTAAGTTTGACAAGTAAAATAATTGGAGTTCTCAAATATAAAAGAGAGATGAAGATAAAAAGATATTAACTCAGCCTCAGCGAGGGAGGGACACCACGACCGCTATGATCCTCTCAGATTTGCTTTTTAGTACCGAGCCACCGCTATAAACAGTAAAAATGTTACAATAAAAATGTTATTTTTTTTTTGTTATGTTACATCATTAGATTTAGATAAATCTTTCAGAAAATGATTTTACAAAATACGATCTTATTCTGAAATAAATAACTAATCATTTTTCATCACCTCGACTTCAATCACTTAAAATTCACTTAATAATCCGTTCTATAAAGAATTCGATCCCGCTTTTTAAATCGTTTTAGTTTTTAGTATAAAATTGTATTCAGTAATACGGAGGCTCGGCATCGTATATGAAAAATCTGAGAGGCTCCTTGTGGCTCGGGTGTGTCCCTCCCACCCGCAGAACGAGGATCCAAGAATAAAATTCTATTTCGCTTTATTTGAAGAAAAAGTTAGTGTCCTACCGAGCAGTGGACAACAGGGACTATGTCTCATGCATGCAATCATGTCAGGGGAGGAAATGCCACTTTCATACAAAAAGTCAAAATCTTTTCTGAAGTCCGTAAAACCGTGAAATCGAAAAACGGCATTTAATCAAAATTACGTGTATTTTATGTTGTTGAAAAGCAAATAGTTTTATCATTAGGTTGAAAATCAACTTATGAAGTAAAATGTATCTGTGCACAACCGATGGGTTTTAGGTACATTTTCATAATTTTCATTTTAGAATCATATTCCTGTTCCACAGTTTTATGGGCGTCACTGTAAACGGGAAAAAATAATGGTAAAGTGGTAAATATAGACTAAATATATATATATAGCTCTAATCAATTTATTATTTAATCAAAAAACAGATTTACATCCTCAGCCACGGAGTTCATGGAGTTGCTCCAGTCTTCAGTGAGGTCTGGTCTCGACCTTGTTTAAAGATATATATATATATATTTTATTTGTAGTAAAAATATATATTTTTATTAACAATTAATATTTTTAGGAATTTTCCCCTGACTGCATACATATAGCTTGAGCTGAAAACAAAAATTTAAGAAAATCTAATTCTTTTATGTTATTTTTTTTTTTCTTGATGAGGCTGTATTTCTGGATAACTTATTTAATAGGATTTAATAACAAACGAACGAAAACAGCTCTAAAGTAGTAACAAAACAGCTCTAAAGTAACAAAACAGCTCTAAAGTAAGAAAAGATTTAATTTATAGTTTATCAGTCTTTTTTAAGCAGATTCACTTTTTTGTTTTTGACTTTTAAGATGAAAAAATGTTAAATTCTAGACTGTAGCTTGAATTAAAAAATGCAGAAGGGTGCAAACTGAAATGAATTTTAAGAGTTTTATTAAAGCATATTTTTGAATTTTGCACGTAAAAATACCATTAAAACTATATCTTTTTAATTTTTATGAATTTTGTAACCGTATATTTTGTAATTTACCCGGACTGTTCATGGTTTTTCGATTGTCCTTCCATTAAAGAGAGGCAAAGCGTATATAGGTTACTTTAGTGAATCGGACATGCCACTTTATAATAGGACAGTCACTGAAAATTATGTGTACAGTCCCTTGCAATCAGATGGTATTGTTTAATTCATTGAATGAAACTGGGATTAACATCCATTGTATTTTTAAACAAACATTGTTTGAACAAGCTAGTGACAAAAACCTAAAACCTCCGGATAAAAATGGCGGATACATTAGGCTTGAAAACAGCAAACTTGTTGTAATGACCCGGACCAATTTTTCTTTTCAAAACTCTTGAAGAAAATACTAAATATTTCGTCAACAATCTTTTTACATAGACTCAGTTTCCTCGATAGATATGAACATAGATTAATAACAATACAGATAGAATACTAGATATCGTTTTTTCAAGATTTAGGCGTTTTTTATTCACAATAACCCTGAGGCAGAAGCCCAAAGGAGTTACGCGCATTCTCTCTCTCTGTCTTTTAATTCAAAGCGGCATGCGTGGAACTCCTCTGGGATATTATGAACGAAAAACCCCTTATTCAATATATCAAGCTTTGTAGTTTTTTGTTTTTTTTTGATTATTTAAATTGGAAGGCTTACATTATCTTTGCATTTTTAATACAATTTAGTTTCATTGGCAGTTGTTTAAACAATTTTAAAATTTATTTTATTTAATATTTTAATGGTTTAACTTAGTTGAATCCGAATGTAATGAATTTAAGCCGCGTCTCAAATCCGAAAAAACCGGTTTCAATCGAGTGCAGGCTTAAATCTTGAAACATTGAGTACAATTTTAAGTGGAACCAATTTTTTTAAGCCGCGTCTCAAATTTAAGCCGCGGCTCAAATTCTTTAAATTTGGTCTTTGGTCGGAGAAAGTATTCTCAGTCACTGTTTATTTGAAGTACCGGGCCCACCTTCAAGCAGCTAGAGCAAATGGTGCAGTATGCATACAGACTATATAAGGCAAAATGGAACAGTGAGAATTATATGCAATGTGAACTCCCGTCAAAGGACGCCATCTTAGTAAGGTTAAAGAATAAATTGCAGAAAACATTTTTCTCTTAAATTAACTTTTACAAACTAAATTTCAACTTTAAAATTTTGGTTGACATAATATAAACTTTTTGACGGACATTTTGCAAAACCATTTTTTCCAACTGAAGGCTTTCTCTTTCTATAAATTTTATCCATTCGCTGCGCACGATTGTTTAATAAAGGGAATTGTGAATTAAAAGGCGATCGCATAATTTATAATTGTTTGAGACCAAAAGACTAAAATTGTTAAATATTATAAGCGATTATATTGACAACTTAATCATTATTTCAAAAAATGGATAGTAAAACAACGTTATACAAATCTTTTAATAGTACCATTGGGAATCGGGTATTGCCATCTTTGCATGAAGGGTCACTTGAAATTACGCTTACAGTCCCTTTAAATCAGTGATAGTTGTCTATTGCTGGTAACATTGAGGTATCCAGCTTCTATGGTTTAACCGTCGAGAGAGAGGTTTAAGATCCAACAGTTTTGCCCTCTAGACTGAGTAGCTCCTGCAGAGAAAGTGCAATAAACCTATCCTGAAATAAATCTTGATGTCCTAAGACACTTTTATCAGCAGGAGGCAGATATCAAGAGAAATAAAAGGAAAGGCATTAAAATCTATCAAATTTCCATATCTAGTATATACAGGCTTCTATTACAACTATTTCAGCCGTTTTGACGATTGGATACAAACAAACAAACACCCAAACAGACACCCAGGCAATTCATATATATATATATATATATATATATATATATATATATATATATATATATATATATATATTCATTTCAGACATATAAAACGTGTCCACCATGTATAATTACTGAATTTGAGCGCGCGCAAAGTCGACGTTCAAAATCATGAATTTGGGTGGGTACGACAAAAAATATAGTAAAAATAGTAATTCAATGGTTAGGAATATACTTCTCAAAAGAAATTTGCCAATAATCAATGCTAGAATCAATTATTTCGTTGTCATCATTTTATTGCATTTCTTATTTCTATGAATTTATTCGCAGATATTTACAAATTCTTCAAATGTCGTCTTTTCAATAAAAATTCCAGAAAATCTGCAGAACATCTTTGTGAATAATCAGAAACTAGAATAATGAGAAAATAGAAACAATTAGTTGAATAAGATTACTTATTTT